ATGTGGTATCAGGCTCAGTATAATGGGTAGGATTGCCAGTGTTCGAAGTGGCGGTATGGGTAGACTCATTAGTGCTGTGTTTGTTGGGTTGTCTACGTATGCGTTGACGTATGTTTCCACAAGTTGACCTTTTTGATCACACGTGCAATGGGGGATCGTCGTCGTTAAAATCGTGTTGCCCCCCTGCAACCATTGGCTCAAGGTCGTTCGACGATATATAAGGACAGTTTCGCTCAATCACTGTTTGTTGCCAAAGTTACAACAAAACAAGGGGCAATGCAGGCTCGATCGGTGGTCACAGTCCTGCAGTTGCTATTCGTGGCAGTCGCCTCGAAGGCGAATGTGTCGGACGACAAATCACTTGTAACAGCGAATTCGTCGTTGGAAGGCTACAAGTGTGGACCGGCACTCGGATCTGCAGCTTGCTACCCACGCAGGTGGAAGAGCTTCAAGATGGTTGAGTACCCAGCTTGCACTGGCGAGTGCGACATCGATTGCAGATGCTCGAACCCGAAAGAGAGTTGCGTCTCCGTTGACAAGAAGAACCCAGGCCTCATTTCATTGCGGGTCATGGACCACACGCACTATTTTGCTGTCAAGGTCAACAAGGCGACGAAGGAGTGGCAGTACCTCAAGGTCACGGAGGAGTGGTCTGGGGACGACCGGGTGCAGACATTCAGTTGGGAAAGCCCCAGTGATGTTGGGAAGTCCTTTGTCGATTTGTCTCTGGTGGGCAACACTCACGACATCGAGGGCGACGAGTGTGATCCTGGCATCATGGCAAAGCACATCGAAGCGCAGTTTGGGAGGTTCAATTCCGACGAGGCGCCGTTCTGAGTACCAGGTTCCTGGCCACTGGGCCCCTCGTGCTCATATCAGCTTCTATCACATAATCCATTACTGCCGCATCCATGTTGCCCGCTATGGTGCTCACCGCACGCTGCAGTGCCATGTGGTGGCCACTCCAGTGATCGGAGGTCGATGGAAGGCTGGCGCTGCCTTTGCGAGCGTAGTGAAGGCTGCGGATCAGAAAAAGATTGAGCTCGGGGGAGGGATTCCCCTTCCTCCCCCTGCCCCGTCAGTCGGACGGCCCCCGTCTCTTATATGACTGCCCACCACCACCGCCCCCGCCCAGAACTCTCCAGAACCTCGCGCACCCACGCACCATAAAACAACCTCGCAGGCCTTCCGCCCTCCTCCCTCCCCCCCCCCATGGCCGAGCCATCCCAAGACGTTCGGTCTGGCTCCGGAGCCCTGGCCGGCTGCCACGGGGCGCGAAGATGGCCGCGCCCCGCGGTCTTTGCCCGAGGGGCGGTGTTCGCGGAAGGTGGCCCGGCGAGGCCTCGGAGGAGGTCGGCGTGTGCCTCGCGCTTCCCGCCGCGCGGCGTCCGAGTCCGGGTGCCGCGGCAGAGTTTTCGCCCACGCCTGCTCTCTGCACAGCCGAAGCGCATAGGAAGTGCGGGCAAGGTTTATGTCCATACCCAGTGCGCCTTCGATCTTTTTGGAAGTGGCGCCACGAGGCCGAGGTGCACTGGACATGGATAAAAGTCGAGCCTCTATAGGGCAAATTTATCCATATCCAGTGCGCCTCGGGTTTCTGGGGAAGGGAGCCCGAAACTCCATACTGCAGTGGATATGGACAGAAGTACTGCCCGCAGTAAGGATGAGCAGCTTTCCAAGGCTACCCCTGCATCCTTGCCGCTTCGGCCCGACCTCGGAATCTTTCGCTGGCCAGCCTCGTTCGAGAGAACGTCAGCATGCCCTTCCAAGGCCCTTGCATCCTTGCCGCGCATCCCTACTATGCGCTTTGATTGCATGAAGTCGCGGGCGCACTGCAGTCGAGGCGCTGAAGTGAGGCCCACTGGGCCTGGGCCTGGGAGTTGCTTAGATCTAGGTCGGGGACCACTTCGTGGCCGAGGCTCGCCGTGGCCAGACGAGCCCCTTCGGTCCTGGTCCAGCGTCTGCAGCCGTATAGCACGTTGGCCGGAGGCGGCTACATTTTTCGCCCCCTGGGGGCCATTCAAGCCAGAGTGCCTGCGGTTCGGCGTCGAGCGAGCATTGTCGACGGAGGGGCTGGAGGCGGAGCGGAGATGAGATGCAGTGGCAGTGGAGCGGGGGTGCAATAAACGAGGGGCGATCGATGTTTGCGTGAAATTTGTCTTAAATGGGCGCTGTACATGGCCCGAGGTTACCACTGCGAGCCCAAAAGGTGCTGGAGCGGTTCGCGTGTCTTCCTCCCCCATTCCCCCCCTGTTCACGAACGCTCGATCGTGTGGTGTCCAAAACTAAACGATCAACCGATCCTTCAGGACCCCTCATGGCGATCCTCCCTCCTCCTGACGCTGAGGCTGAGGGCATTGCTGGCTTTTCCTCCTTCCCCTGTCTCCTCCTTGCTCTCCCCCTCTCCCATCCTCTCCTCCCTCCCTCCGCTGCTCCCCTCCTCCAAGGTCTCGTCCTTCCACTCGCCATCCCTCCTCCTGGGCCCCCTTCCAGGTCACCTGGCGCGCAGAGCTGCCCATGTGCTCCTCGTGCTGCAACGGCTGCTGCTGCATGCTGGCGCCGGTCATCTTCATCGGCATGCTCACGGCGCCTCGCCCATCGGGGGCGGGGCAGGCTCAGGAAGGATTGCAAGGATCGCTGCAGGGAGGGGCGCACGCGGTGAGGAGCGGGGAGGTCAGGCGTTCGATCCCGAACCCTTCGGTCGAACGCGGCCGCCCAGCTTGCGCGCCGAGGGCCGCCCGAGACCGCCAGAGAACCGCGGAAGGCCGCGGAAGACCGCCGGCAGACCGCCCAAGCCCGCCGTGGGTCGTCGGAGGGCCAGCGACCACCGGAGGCCGTCAGGAGACCGCCAAGTGTGGCCCAGTGCCGATCCAGGCCTCCGAGATGGGGTCCAAGTAGCTGCTTGGCATCGCTCGGACGTGTGCATTTTTTTCGGCGAGGACCATTGAGGACCATCCTGGACCATCGAGCAACAAACACGCACGAAACCAACACATGCACGGGAAATGGACGTCCGAGCGATGGCAAGGATGGGTCGGAGGATCGCACCGCATCGCCGATGCATCGACGAGGCGGCTCGATGTGCTCCCCACGCCGACGTCGCCGACGCGTCGACGGTGCGGCTCGATGTGGAGCCCGTGTTTCCCCACGCGCCGACGTCGCCGATGCATCGCTGACGTCGCCAATGCATCGCCGATGAATCGCCGATGCATCGGCGATACATTGGCGATGCGGTGCGATCTTTCGACACCATCTACTCGGACCCCATCTAGGAGGCCTCTAGCCGATGGGTGAGCGCAGGGGTGCATGGTCGAAGGCGCACACGCTGGTCGTTGCAAGTATGTTTTCCTGGATTCCCTGACCCCACTCTACTTCAAGCGCCTCCCTACATCAAGAATCGATGTGTTTCTGCTGTGTTGTGCTGTTCTCTGGGAGGGCCTGGGCCCAATCCATTTCACCCACCTTCCTACTTCATGCTTTTCCTTGCGGGAGGGTGGGGCGGGGGCTGACTGACTGTTTGGACTGCAGGCCCAGACGCCCGCGGATGCGACAGGGGGTGGAGGAGGGGCGGCGGACGATGCGGGCGGGGAGGGGTTCTCGTGGCAACGCAGACACGGATTGGGGCGCGTGGATTAGCGACGGGCCCCGTCTCCGTGCAGAGTCGGCGCGCTCCGTCGCCGAATGAGGCGCCGTCTGGCCCCGTGCCTTCGGGGGACACTCTCGGGGACCCGTGGATCTGGCGCCCACGCTCCAGGTCCGCGGATGCCTACAGTCCACGAGAACCTGCGCCCGAGACGAGGATTCGACGCGGCGGGCTCGGTGTTCCGCCTGGGACCTCGCTCGGCCTCGTGGCCGCAGAGGGCAGGCTTCCTTGCACCCCCCGGCGGCTGGGGGCAGGGTGACTGTCAGAAGCCAGTCTCCATCTCGAGTGGGAGGGAGCAGGAGGATGGGGTCGGACGACAGGGGTGGTGACGAACTCTGTTGCATGCAGCTGGTTGCGGCCCCGCCGCCGGGCGCTTCCTCGACACACGGGCGCCTCCGGCGTCGGGGGGGCGCCGGGAAAACTGGCTGCACGAGCACGAGCTGGTCCGAGAACCTTCCCTCTGCCATCCCCCCCCGTGAGGGGGGGGGGGGTGTTTTTGGGGGGGGGAAGGAGGGATGGAGTCGGCCACGCGCCGAGGGGGTATGGGGAGGCGGGAAGGCTTTTTAGAGGTACCCCTGCTTCTTAGAAGGTGCGGGCCTTGCCCATGCACGCAGGGCCGGGCCAGCCCCCTCTCCCGCGCGCCGCCAATGGAGGGGCGGGAGTCACGGAGGCCTCACGCTGCCCACGTGTGCAGGTCTTCTGCCTGGGGTTGCCGAGTCGCGCCGCCCGCCGCCTCCTCGCCCCCGTCCGCTCCCTGCCCCCCCGCGTGCGGGCATCGCGCACGGCTTCCCCCGAGGTGCTGCCCAGCTTCGTCATGAAAGTGACAGGCGCCAGCGGCAGCCCGTGCGCTGCGGGGCGCTCCGAAGTGGCAGATCGGAGGCGGAGGAGGAGGAGGAGGAGGAGGAGGAGGAGGAGGAGGAGAAGGAGGAGGAGGAGGAGGAGGAGGAGGAGGGGGGAGGAGGGAGGAGGGAGGAGGAGGAGGGAAAAGGAGGACGTCGACGACGATCAGGAGGGAATGGAGGGGGAGAAGTGTTGGGGGAGGGCGTAGGAGAACGATGAGGATCGTCCGGGCGCGCCAGCCTCTCATCCCCTCTGGCTCCTGGCACGGAAAAATCACCGCCCCCCGACACTCGTGGACAGACTCCTCCCCGAGCCGGCCGCCTGCAAAGGGAGCAGGCTGTGCGGCGCTTGGCCGCCAAGCCTCCCTCCTTCCTGCTCTCTTCTGTCGTTTCCTTATTGTCTGCTCAGTCCAGCTCACTCCTGTATAGTTTGTATAAGAGTTGACGTGTATCCGAGCACCGCACACGCGCATTCCTACGTGCAGCAGCAGCTCTCTTCTGTCGTCCTGGCGCCACGCTGTCCCTGCGCCGCTGCCCTGCGGACGTTTGCCCAGTCTTCTGCTCCGGTTGTCCCTCGAGGATTACAGCACGACATCAACATATTCTCTCGGAGGTCTGCGCGGCGTTCTTCGATCGGCGCTGGAGCCCCCATGGGCGCTCCGCGCGCCAGGGAGGGGGGTCTAGTGCCGATGCAGTCAAAAAGCGTGGACCTCCAACAACATATGCCCCCATCAGGGCTCGCAATGGCGATATCACTGGTGCTCTAAGATAACTGAACCCCTGTGTCGGTCTGGCTGGAGCGCCGTCGCCGTTTGGCGCCAGTGGCGGTCCAGCCGGCTCATCGCCGCCCGTCGCCGCGTTGCATGGCATTGCAATTGCACTGTCTTGCACTGTCTTGCATCGCCTCGCATTGCATTGCGTTGCGCTGTTCTGCGTTGCTTTGCATTGCGTTGCATTCCGTTGCTGTACATTGCTGCGCATCGCATTGTTTGGCTTTGTGTTGCATTATTCGCATTGCTTCCCATGGCTTTGAAGTGTGTTGCTTTCCAATGGTTTGCACTTCATGTGTTTGCGTTGCTTTTCATTGTTCGCATTGGTTTGCATTGCAGGCGGTTGCATTTCGTTGCGTTGATTTGCGTTGTTTTGTATAAGCTTGCATCGCTTAGCATCGCATTGCAGTGGTTTCATTGCTTTGAATTGCTCGGTACTGTCTTGTACTGCTTTGCATGGCTTTGCATTGCTTTGCATTGCTTTGCATTGCATTGCTTTGCATTGCTTTGCATTGCTTGCATTGCGTTGCAGTTTTTCCATTACGCTACTTTGATTTGATTTGCGATGCGTAGATTTGCATCACGTTGCATTGTGTTTTAGTGCGTTGCTGTGCGTTGCTTGCGTTGTTTCGCATTGCTTTGCACCGATTGCACTGATTTGCACGTCGATGGCTGCTTTGCACAGAATAGATGATACCACGTGGTTTGCACCACCAGGATTTCACCAGTCTGATTGCATCGCACAGTCGCAAGACATTGCTGAAGGGGTTCACGCTGGCTAACATGGTTGTTGTGCCTTGAGTCCCGCTGACCTGTTGCGGCCGCCTGGCCGCTGTGCCACTGTCGCTTGGATCTCTGGGGCAAGGTCCCTCCCCAGCGGCGAGGTCGTATGATGAACGATTTGCGACGAGGCAACCAAACGTGCGCCAGCGGCGAGGGGCCAGATATGGAGGTTAGCCAGTTTGAGAAATCCTCACCTGCTTTCACGCCGCATTCATACGGAAATCCAAAAGGGTGCACCCACCCCATCCTGGCGACAGGAAGCAAAGAAAGGGGGCGGGGGTGGGGTTTGGAGAAGGGGAGGGCCGTGTACTTCGGCGACCGCGCCTCTGCTTGGAGCGAAAAGAATGCAACTGGGGGTTCCACACGCGGGCACCTAGATCAGGTTCCGCACTCTTTGCATTCACCGACAATGTGGTCATGAACCAGCGGTTAGGTTTCCCTTCCCCCTACTCCTTCTTTCCTCCCGCAGGGGCCAGCAAGATGCTGCTCGTGGAGCACCCTGTGGAGTACGGTAGAAACTACAGCGACGCGTCAGCGTGGCACCACGCTGGACTATCGTTGAGGGACCACCTCTTCATGGAACCCAAGGACGAGGGCGCCGACACAGGATGCGCTCTTTCCGCGGATCGCCCCATTCGCTGGCTTGCCTGCTGCTGCCTGCTGCCTTGACCTGCCGCCGACGCTCACTGGTGCTGCTTCCGCACCAATCCGGTGCCTGCTGCCTTCGGGGGTGGACAGACTTCCTACCCTCACACGTCGATTAGCGAATTGGCCGTTTTCGGTTCGCGAGAGGGCGTCGCGGGCGTCATTTTTGCGTGTCCATGTCCGTCGATCTCGTCCCCAGGCCGTTTTCACTAAATGGTGGTTTACTAAAGGGAGGTTTGTCCACCGCCGATGCCTCCTCGAGACACCGTGGTGCGCACCTCGGCGGGCCCCTCCTGGCGAGCTGGAGGTGCTCCTGCGCCCAGAGGGTGGTGTGGACGGCCCGGCCCGCCTTTTTTTGCCTATGTCGATGGATGCCGATTCGATGGATTCGATTCGAAGGATGTGTTGCCCGCCTGAATTCGATTCGATTCGATGTCGATGGATTCCGATTCCGGCTCGATTCGATTTCGGATTCCGATTCGGGCTCCGATTTCTCAATGGAGACTTGTTCGCCTGCCGATGTCTGCCGATCCGACTTCTCCCGACTCGGCTGCCGATCTCCGCCGATCCGATTCATGTCGATCGCCGATCCGACCTATCGGTTCGATTCTGAGCTCTCCCTGGGCGAGGGGGGGGGTCGATTAGGGAAGGGGGGGAGAGCATCGGGGACGACGATTGGGGTGGATAGCTCAGGGGCGGGCATGCCACGCACTCGTCGGGGAGCCTCGCCGAAGACGTGGGCCGTCGGCGCCCCTGGATGCATGTATGGCTCCCCCCAGTGGGCTAACCCAGCACCCCGGATACTGACGTAGCCCCCCCCCTTAACCCCTGAGAGTTGAAAACCCCTCGGGGGTGGACAGGAACCCCACCCTGACACGTCGATTAGTGAATTGTCCGTTTTCGGTTCTCGAGAGGGCGCCGCGGCCGTCATTCTCCCGGCTTGCGCTCGCCAGGTTTGGGGCCCGAGGTCGTTTTCACTAAACCACGTTTTGCTAAAGGGGGTTATGTGCAACCCCGATTGATCATCCCGGGCCAAGACAGAGTTGGTCGGGGAAAAGGGGCGGCGATGCCAAACTTAATTCTCGCCAGGGAAAATACGAATCGAAGTCACTATCCTCTTATGCTGAGTAGCAGCACTGGCACGAACGTGCGGCAGGGCTATGGGATTATCACCATGTTAGCTTTCCTAACGAACGTGTGCCAGGGCTGTGGAATTATCCGACACCTCCAGGGAGGTTCCTTCAGAGCGAGCAGGATATCGCTATACCCAGCTACGTCTTAGGTTTCGTGCTCCTCCGACCCCTCCAAGGAGGCCCCGCTAGAGCGAGCGGGGCATGGCTATACAATTCCGGTTTCGTGCTCCTCCGACCCCTTCAAGGGGGCCTGGCCAGAGCGAGCAGGATATGTATATCGCGCTAGCATGTTATCGTACATACGAGTTGCCAGGATAACACAGTCACCTTGTGGTCATCAGGAGCATAGGGCTATCCGCCCCCATCGTCGCCGCCGAGAGTAAGCAAGGGTGTCCGCGCTTCGATTGGTTCGGCTGCGTCGCAGTGGGTTGAACTCGGTTGGTTCGGTTTGGTCGGCCGTTGTGTCGTTGATGCGTCGCGGCGCCCCTTTTACTTTCACATGGGCCGCTTGCGGCCTGTCGGGTTCGGTTGGTTTCGGTTCGCTGCCAGTTGGGTCGGTTTTCGGTTGTACCGTCGCCGTGGACGGCCTTGGTAAGAAGGGGGGGATGTGATGGAGCGGTTGGTGGCAAAGAGTGCCCCTCTCCCCTCTTCTCTTCTCGCCTATTGCCCCTCCGCTTTCCCAAACTACTCTCGTCCACCTGCACAGCGCCCTCCCCTCAGCCTGCCCTCCCAGTCCGCTTCCCTCCTTGCTCCCCTTCCTATCACTTCCCTCCTCCCCATCCCCATCCACCTCTCCTCCTCTTCTCCTCCCTCCTCTTCTCCTCTGCCCCCCTTCTCCAGTTCCTCTCGCTCCACTCCCCCTCTCCTCCCCCTCGCGTCCACTCTTCGTCCTTGTCCTGTTTCTCTCTCCAGCCCATCCTCTCTATCCACCTGGCATTGACGGGGCTTAGATGAGACCGACGCTGAGGTCACCCACCTGCCTGCTTTCGCCAGGGCCCCTCTCCTTCGGGACCACACCCTCATCCCGCCGGGGCGTCGCATTCTTGGGCTGATGCGCCGCAGTGCAGTGCCGACGGATACCAGTGCAGTACCGCTTGCAATTTCCTGGTGGTTCCCTGCACCGCCCACAATTAGGGCAGTGTAGGAATATTATGTCTGACTCGATTGGTTTAGAGGTACGTTTTGTGGGTCGGCAGATTGTTAAGCTGGAAAGTCCAGGCGGCTTCTCACGAAATAAAGCGTGTGTAAAGTCCGTCATGTGTTAGACGAGCGTGGTGTGGTTTACGTTGAACGCGCGCGCGTGTATGTGTGTGTGTGTGTGCATGTGCGTGTGCGTGTGCGTGTGCGTGTGCGTGTGTGTGTGTGTGTGTGTGCGTCTGTGCGTGTGTGCGTGTGTGCGTGTGTGCGTGTGTGTGTGTGTGTGCGCGTGTGTGTGTGTGCGCGCAGATATTCGACCCGGTGAGCTCATTGCTCATTGGCGCTTATAAGCAGCATGTGCTAGCACATCACATGCATGCAGCCCACGTGCGGGCTGGGGCAGATTCGGCCTCCCTTCCGCAGCCAGAAGTTTCCGCGGCCTGCTCATTCCCCAAGTGGTGCTTGCATGTGTGGGGGTCTCACCTGTTTCCTCCCGTGATCGCACGGTGCTTGCGGGTTCTCCGTCGGTGCCCAGCCGTTTGCGTTTCTCGGGCGCCCCGAGCGTTGGGTCGGGTTTCGGGCGTTCCGGCTCGTGCCCGGGCTCGGGCGCCCCGTGGCCTCCGCGGGATTTCTGGGTTCTCGGCGGGTGCCCGGCCGTGGGCGCCCTGTGCAGGTTGCACCGCACGGCTTGCACCACATAGCGCGCATCACGTAGCCTGCTCCGCACAGCTTGCATCACGCTGACTGCACCATGCAGTTTTCCCCCCACGCATGCCACGCAGCATACCTTGTGCCACGCAGCACAGGTTACACCACGCAGATTGCATGTCATAGCTTGCACCGCATAGCTTATATCACGCGTGCTGTACCACATAGCTTACACTGCGCCACATGAGTTGCGCCACATAGCTTGCGACACGTATATTGGAGCATGTAGTTTGCATCACGCTGGTTGCCAGATGCACTATACGGTGCAACCATCCAGGGTTCAAGGAGTCACTGTTTTGGGCTTGCGCAGCGAAACCTTTTCTTCAGTTCGCGAAGTGGATCCCAAGGGCGTTCTTCTTGCGAAATCGCAGGTTTGAGTCATGCCCGCCACTGAGTATATGTAATCCCGTTTGCCCCGTTCGAATGTGTCAAATTATCCGTTCTAATGTATACGAGATGGTCTGTTTGATATTGTTGCTCCCTGGGTAGCATGTAGTGCTCGCCCCTGGTTCCGCCTTTCATAGTAGAAACAGCCCGTGTACTTGCGTTGGTGATGTCACGAGTGTGACATTTGCCAGCTATATCTCCCACCTTTACATGAGGCTTGCAATGTTCATGGAAGCGAGCCGTGTGTTGTCAGAACTTCAGAGCGCGTGCGGTCCGCATCAAGATCCCCGTCGGGTGCACCCCAATCTTTATGATTAGGTGGAACTTCCCAGCCTTGAAACTGCCAACTGAATCGGAATGGCCTTGGTGATAGCATCAGTTGTTTTGCCACTTCGGTGAGTATGTCTGTATGTGTGTTTGTTCGTGTTTTCCAAGCATCCATGTGTGCCCACATGATAAGATTGTTTTGGCCACCGCCTATTCCTCGTCCAATTTTGGTTTTTAGTGATGGTACATGAAGCAAGAATGCCAACGTGTGGGGTGATTATTGTTAGATGTGTTGTTTCACACGGCATCTTCCATATGACGTTCGGCACGTTGGTGATACGCACGCCACCAACGCATGCGTTTCAACACAGCAGTGAAAGTGTTTGCCCCCCCGCCACGCCCCCTCCTCATTCTCCTCTTCCTCCGTAGACGAAGTTGTTGTTGCTTGTATACACGCAGCTGCAGACTTTGGCAATTCCAAGGCATTCGAAACCAGTGAAGTCACAGTCGATACTTTTTCGACCTGCCACATGCCCGTCCTCCAGACACGTAGTCTTTGGTTTGGTGGCAAACATTGAACATGAATTGGCTCATCGATCGTGTGATTCCAATGGTAGGGCAAAATTCACACCCTTGCGTCGAGCCTTCCTCTCGACTGAAAACTTTTATATCCATAGGCACTAGCAAACAAGGGTTGAGCGAGAAAGCGCGGCTTACAGGCTGGCGGTCCATGCTGCAGGACCCGATCACCACGCCGTGGCACCCGATGGGACTCCTGCCGCAGGGGGCCTGCTACTGCCGCACGCTGGGGGCCGTGGGCCCTGGCGCTGCCAAGTTCATCGGATCCGCTTTCAGCTTTTATCACGGAGGGGGTACCCAAGGAGGAGGAGGAGGAGGAGGGGATACCCACGGATGAGGGGAAGTCGAGACGAGTGCTGACCTAGGAGAGCGGGAGGCGGGGCAGAGACGACGGAGGCAGCTTTCAGCACGGAGGGGGTGGGGTGCGCGAGGAGGAGGAAGCCAAGACGAAGGATGACCTATCAGAACCGGAGGCGGGGGGGAGAGACGACAGAGGAACAGTACGGCGGGAGGCGGTGAGAGACCAAGGCACGGGAGTGACGAAGAGGAGACAAGGCGAGGGGGGGGGGCACGGAGAGATAATGGACGAAGCAGGGAAGAGTTGACGGAGTCACAGAGACGGTGGGATTGCAGGTTCGAGAAGAACGCAGATGATGAGGGAGGACGAAGACAAACGTCGAATGAGTCGATATGGCATTGCATTTGGGTAAGAGGATTGCGTTGGAGGTTATGCGTCTCGTTCCTATGTCCCGTCCCTGTGCCATCTCTGGTCCTTCTCTCTCTATGTCTCTCTTCTCTGTTCTCCCTCGTTTTGTTGTCCCCCTTCTCTCTATTGTTCTACCTCTCCTTGACCTACACATACAGTCTGACTGTTCCTCAACCGACGTCCCCTCCGACTCTGCCTCGGATAGTTCAGGAAACTCGGACAACCAGGTCCAAGCCTCCGTGAGCAAATCGAGCCGCATGTTTTTCGACATCAAAGCCATGATGAAGTTCATGACGTACGCTTGGGAACGAATACTGGGGTGATACCGCAAAACGGGACTTTTCATCTGGATCTTTTCAAAGTGGACTACCACCAATATTTCCCAGACCCAGTCCAGTCTGAGACGTTTGTCCTCACCAACGAAGCTCTGATCCATGTCGTCCGCACCCGACCCGCTGCCAAAGCGGGTGGTATGGACCAAATGAGGCCAACAAGCTCCCAGGTAGGGTCTTACGATTGTTCGCCAGAGCGTTACGACCCTTGCAGCGCACCAGGACGGTGCCAGAACCACTCCTCCGTATTCCAAGCCCGTGTTCCCGAAAAAGAAAACAAGAGGTGCCGACGGACCAACACCTCCTCTCCGTTATGCCCATATGCATTTATTCATGAGAGGCACCAGCCTACCGCAGCCTTGCGTCATGGCACTACGTTGACCATACAGGTGGAGCATGCCCGACACCTGCATGGGGCCCCTCACAGGGGCGGCGTGGACAGGCAAAAGTGTTTTGATTTCCTCCTCATAGGCATGTGCCTCGACCACGCGGTGCGTCCACCTGACATCGTCCACATCAGAAGGTTTTTCTATTCCAACCATCAGCGAAACATTCGCATAGGAGAAGCATGTGCGAAACCCCTAATTTGCACCAGCGTTCACCTCCAAGGCAGCTACTTTTCTTTCAACGACATCGAATTCCTGACGTGCGTTTGGTGTAACAACAGCACCGGTACGCGCCGCGCTCCCCCAGCGCCACGTTCGTCGACGACAGAAACTTCACCGCCCCCGCGGCTTGGGAGCAGGAGGCACCGCTGAATGAAACTGTCCTGTTGTACCCCTGTTTGGGCCAACATAATCTTCCTTGTAAAAGTGATGGCATGGGCTGTGGGGTAGGGGCTCCACTTCCAGGTGCCTGCATGGCCGCCCCCTCAGAGCCCACCGCCAGGCGACATTTGTGGGGGGGCTACATCAACATTGTACCAGCTGCGGAAAGCACGGGCCTCAACCTGTCTGCCACTGCCGATGCCGGAGTTCGCCGACCCGGGGCCAGACTTTGTCGCATCGGTCGCCTCCCCGAAGGCACCTGCGCGTGGGCCCGCTCCGTAAGGCCCCCAGCGGCAAGCTCGTGCACCGCTGGGTCCGACATCCAGGCGCCGGGCACGGAGGCACGTAACCTCTACAACATTGCGCCGTTTGCAACTGTTCGCCCTAAGGGTATCCTATGTAGGTCTTTACGCCTTCACGCTTCCAGGTCGCGCCCTGGAACTTGATGCCATAACGCGGCGGGAAGCGCTCCTCGGGGCGCGCGGGCGTGCGCGGCAAGGGGCAAGGCGCTGGTCTCAACGCCAAGCCGACGCGGTCCGTGACCGCGCGCAAACGTTCCCAGGCACCGGCCACGTCGGCAGAGTTTGGCAAGCCATCGCCCAATTGGAGTGGATTTGGCTGGCCTGCGGCTTGATGCGCGACGGATGGGCGTGCGGCTATCATGGCTGAACCCTCCGGTCGGGATGTCCGCGCGCGTGCTCAGGGCATCGCAGAGGCGGGCCGTCCTGCGACGAATCCACACAGGCGCGACCCTGGGGCGGCTGAGGCCGATAAACGAGGCCTCGATAACTTCGCCAACACGTTGCCTCAGAGAACCATGGGCAAAATCAAGTGCACTACATGGCAACTCGGCCTCCCGCGCAACTACCTCTGCGGCGGCGGCCGCGCCGGGCGGGGGAACGCGCGGGCGGGGATCTCGACCGACGCGCTCCCACTGCGCCGTCGGTGTGACCAAGAAGAGTAGACCCACGAACGCGCCGTCGGGAGATGCCCGCGCTGGGCCGATGAGCGAACATCCCTGGCTACCGCGATCTCGGTGGAGCAGTGGAGAGACCTTCTGCCGCGGCTCGGGTTCAGGGGGCGGCATCCGTGGTCCCGCAGAAGGGGTGTTCCACAATATACCCCTATATGCCGCCACGCTGGTTCCGGGCAAGCTGTGCTGTCCGGCGGAAGGGGGCGAGGAGGGGAGAAGCATGCTGACGACGAACGCCCAGGCGGGAGGCCAGGGCCGGCGGGGCGGGCGGGCAGGCAGAAGACGGGCCAGGCGGAGACAGCAGGCAGGAAGCAGGAGGAAAGGAAAGGGAGAGAAGCAACGAGCAGAAGCGAAGGGAGGGGGAGGAGGGGGAGGAGGACAAGGAGGAGGGAAAGCAGCGTCCGCAAACTGACAGGCCGGGCCAGGGGCCGGGAGAGAAGAGCCACCCGCTACGAGGTCACGGACCTTGCGGCGGCGACCTGGGCGGGGTGGCCGCCCGAGCCCAGCGCGATGCTTCTTGGTGGGGATTGCGCTCTGCGGCATCCATCCACCGCCCCGCCGAGGAAGGGCCAGACGGCGCGCGGGAGGGTCGCCGGCGCGACGTTGGCGAAAGGGCGCGGGGGGCGCCCGTGCTGCCCAGCAGGGGCGGGGGGGATGGCGGGGGTCGCTAGACAGCGCCGGGGGCCCCTCGCACGACGTCTGCCGTGGAAGCCGCCGTGGCCGCGGCCAGGCGGGCTGCTGCCACCCCCGCCTCTCCAGACTGTGTCTGGAGGCGCTGCAGAACCGCCCGCGCGTTCTCCCTGTGCAGGGAGACGTGAAGTCGCTGGGCGTGTTGGTCCGCAATCAGTGCGGCGTCTTCCCCGGTGGCGTCAGCCACCCGCTTGGCCAGGACCCCGAAGGCCTTGCGTGCCTCGCGGCCCCGCCCGCCACCGTGGGCTTCCACCACCATGGGGAGGAAGGTGAAGCCCTGTGCCGCGCAAGGCCGCGCGGTGTCCTGGTGTTGCCTTGTGAACTCCTCGTGCCGCTCCGTCGCTGCGCTTCACGAGGCGGCCGACGCGGCGAGAAGATCGGCGCGCAACCCTAACGTAGCGGCAAAGTCCCAGGTGGCCGCCGCGCCGTTGCGCCACCGCGGCAGGTGGACGTCGGCAGGGCGGCGGCCGTTTTCGTCCACCTGGTTCCCGCCCTGCTCGCCCCCGGGGCTGGCCTCCCCGGCGGGGCGCGGGGGTGGCAGCCCCGGGCGCTCCAACTCCGCCATTGCGTGGCCGGCGGCCAGGGCGTCGAAGAAGGCCCGGTTGCGCGTGGCGTTTGGTCCGGTCGCCGCGGCAGGCGCAGACCAAGGCGCGGTCGCAGAAGCCGTCCATCACCCCGCCACAGGCTGGGCAGAAGCGCTCCTCCAGGAAGAGGGCGTTGAACTCCTGCACATGGGGGCCCACTTCTCAAGCGCTCCTTCCCCCGCGCGCGCTGTGCTGGGGGGCCCAGGCAGAGGGCGTTGAACTCCTCGACGCGCAGGCCATTCTCGCCCGGGGCGAAATCTCGCAGCCCATTCCCAGACCGCCGCCAGAAGGGGCCCGGACCAAAGCCAGTTCGAAGAATGCGCCGACCCCGCCGCGGGGACTAGGCGGGCCCACGCGGCCGCTGACAGGGCAAATTCGCACCAGGCTCACCCTTCTGCCTCGCCAGGGCAGGTTTCGGCGCGCACTGCGGGCCCGGACGTCGGCTGAACCACTTTGCTCGAGTGCATGTCCCGGCGCAGTCAGAGCAGCGCGCTGAGACCCTGGCGCCGCCCCGCCTCGCCGCCGGGTCGGAAAGTCCCGTCCGCGCGTTCGTCGATGACACAGCTGTCGCCGATGGGTTCGATGCCCGATCGACGAGGCCTTCAGCCGCAGCGCCGCAGAGCCGGCGACAGCGGGCGCCCTGGCGCGCACCCTTTGCTGCGGGATGCCAGTGGCGCGGCCGAATCAAGTTGCGCCATGAATTCGCGTCTGTCCCACGCGGCGCAGCGGTCGCGACGCGCGACTGTCGCCGCCGCCCACCCCCTCTTCCAGACAGACGAGCTGGGCGCCCCAGGTCGGAACTCCACCTGGTGAAGCCCAACCCTCTCGCCACGTGGGCGGCGGGGACGAGCTGCCGGGCCCGCCCTTTGACCCGCCTCTTCCAAGGCCCGCCAGGGCGCCGGGGCCGGGGCATTACGCACTACGGGGCGCGCTAAGACCCGCGGTGCGCCCTCCCCGACACTTTCGATGGACCCGAGGGGGGCCACTCGACCTAGGGGGAGAGCATCGACAATCGGGCCGGACGAAAGGGGGGGATCGGGAAAGGGGGGGGGCTACGAAATCTGCTGCATGCAGCTGGTTTCGGCCCCACCGAGGGGCCCTTTCCTTGATACGTGGCCGCCTCCGGCGCGGAAAATCAGCTACGTGAGCTGATTCTCAACCCCCCTCTTTGCTATCCCCCCTTTCGCCCGGCCCGAGACACTTGCGACGAAGACATTTCTCCCCCGCCAGATAGTCGCGACATCGACGGCCGCGACGCAGGCGACGACAGTCAACCTCGACGTCCACATGGAAATGTCGACCGAAGAAATGAAGGTCCGCAAGGCCCCCACCTCAGGCGAGACACCGCGATCCACGCAGAGAATCCCAAGGGCGGGCGGCGCGGGAGGCAGTTCGGACCCTGCCGCCGCCCCCCCCCAGACACTCACGTCCAGGCCGCAGTTCAACCGCGCCAATAAGGCCAATCGCTTGGGAGGGTACCTGCTCGCGGTAGGCGAGGGCGCGCAAGGGGCCGCCTCCGCCGCCTCAGCCCGCAGGGCTGGCCAGCGCCGCCCCGCGCTCATCCCCCTTTCACCCCCTGGCGGGGCAGTCCCCGCTCCGCCACGGCATCAAATAACACGAGGGCCATAGTGCCGCCCAGTGGCGCAGGCGCCTGAGCGACGCCAGCGCAGCCGACCGATCGGAGGCGGGCCCTCGCGCAAACCCCTGCCGCCGCCAGGCTGCAATCTGCCCGGGATCGCGAACCCGCGCCAACCGCAAGCATCGCGGCGCTGCAACATCGCGCCCCCAGCCTTGCGCGCGCGCGCGCTCTGTGACGTCCAGGAACAGTCCAGGCCCCTCCTTTCGGGCCGGGCGAAAGGGGGGGATTGGGAAAGGGGGGGTTACGAAATTTGCTGCATGCAGCTGGTTTCGGCCTCTCCGAGGGGCCCATTCCTCGATACAAGGCCGCCTCCGGCGCCGGGAGGCGCCGGGAAAATCAGCTACGTGAGCTGATTCTCAACCCCCCTCTTTGCTATCCCCCCCTTTCGCCCGACCCGATCCTTGACCGGTTCCAATGGGCACGGTCCGTTGTGAACGAGCTCCGGCGGGCCCGCCGCGCGCCTGCCGTCCTTGGGGGAGCTCTCTGAGAGAGATCTCCAGGCGCGACTCGTTGCTCACCGCTGGCGCACCAGTGCTGGCCTTCAGTCGGGCCTGTCCCTCTACAGGGGGAAGTTTCAAAAATAGGCAAAAAATAGTCCGGTGACTATTTGCTACCATGTTTGAACAATTTTTGGCGCATGTTTGGGGTACTTTTATTTTTTCGTCCAAAATCCCTCTGTAGAGGAACATGCCCGACCTAATGCTAGGCCCCCCCCATTATTTCCTCCGCGCGCTGCGAGAACAACGGGCGAAATGTTCCGTGGACTTGGAAGTGGGCCGCCGAGAGCGGGGGGTCAAGGCGGAACCGTTCTCTCGGGGCCAAAAGCCGATGTCTCCTTGAAGGGCGGGCGCGCAGACGGGTCGGGCCACGTCCCCGCCGCCGCGCCCTTTAGGGGCCGTGTCCAAGCGCACTAACGGGCGGGGTGTTCCTGTCACGCCTGCCATGTGCGCGCGGCACCTCCTGCCTTATCCAGGAGGGGTCTAGAGGGCGCTGGTGACCCACAGAAATGGGCCCTCATTTCCAACGGGTGCGATCTCTCTCCTTCTCTCTCTCTCTCTTGCTCTCTCCCTTCTCTCTGTCTCTGTCTCTCTTTCTCTCTCTCTCTCTCTCTACTTCTGTCTGTATGTACCACTCTCACTCTCTTTCGTTTTTTGTTGTTGTGTGTCTCTCTCTCTCTCTTATCGCTCCTCTCTCTCTGTTTCTCTCTCCACCCTCCTTCGCGCTGTTGCTCTCCCTCGCTCTTCCTCCCCTTCGCCCCCTCTCATTTGTGTTCCCCCGCCTCTCCCGCTGATTAGCCCCCTTGATCTTTTTTATTGTTGCATGTTTTCGATCGGAACGCTTTCGATGTTTCAAAAATGGTGTGCCCACCGTTGCGCAGGCTTCATGGATCGGCGTTTAGCTCCCTGTTATTCAGAATGGCGCTCTCGTCCCAGTGCGGGGCCAAAAGTCTGGATCCGATTCGGTCCTTGTCGTTACCATCCCTCTCCTTTCCTATCCTCTGCCTTCCATGGCTTCTGTTTTTTTGTTCGCTGGTGTTCTTTCGTGAGCCTCATCCTCCTCCTCCTCCTCGTCTTCCTTTTCCTCCCGTTCATCCTCCTGCCCGACCGTTTCATATTATTCCAAAGTATCAAGCCCTGTTTCTGATTGCGCATCGCGAGGTGGAGTCATGTTGGCGACGAAGACCCCGTATGACATTCCAGTTGGCGCAAAGACAAGCGTTCAACGCAGTGGGGAGGGAGGGTCGGGAGGGTCGGGATGTCAGATCTGGCGCGGGCGCTCTTAGTTTGTTGCTCACCCTCGCAGATCGCCCTCTTCATTCCCCTCCCCCCCTCCCCTCCCACTGTGCGTGTACCACCCTCGCATCCCTTCCCTTGGCTCCTTTGTTCCTCGCGTTCGTTATCGCCGGTTCATCCCTGTCCCTTCCCTTCCGTCTTCCCCCCCGCCTTCGTTTTGCGAATTGCAGAAGGACTCGCGCACGACTCGAACTTCTTTGGCCGAGGGAAAAGCCAGGGACGACCAGGATCTGATCCGGTGCTGTTCGGCCCGCCAAGCAAAGCCACGATTCCGATTCGATTCGAATCGGTTCGATTCACCGGCATCGGCCAGGACCAGCTGGGGCGGGACTCGGCGATCCCATGTCGAGCCGATTCGGGACGATCCGCTGGCGATTCGATATCCTTCTGACGCAACCCGATTTCGCGATTCAATCCAGCTCAGACCTGAAATCGAGAAGGACTTCAGACTATCCCAAGCCTGTTTTGCCTAGGGGGGAAGCGGGAACCTCCCCAGACTACTCCAAGCGGACGTATCAGGAGTGGAGCAACCACCAGCTGTCACGGGCTCGGCCGCCCGCGATCACGCGAACACCACCCGCGTTCTGTGCGCTGATGTTCCGTCCGCGAATCCGTCACCAGCGCGGCATCATCATCGTTGCTGGGGGAGTCGCGCTCTCTCCCCTTCCTCCCTCCTATCCTTCAGGATGCAACTCCTGCGAGCTTGCATTCAGCGTCGGCGCTGGCATGTCCGTGGTCGAAAGCCCGTCCTAATCCCGCTTTTTTCTTTAATCCAGCTTAATGGCGGGCGTCTTGTGTGCGAATTCGGTTCAATGGCCCCTTACTCGGACGTGAAACTGATAGCCTCGTTCTTACGAAGACCCAGGAGTTGCCTCCTAGTTAATCTTCTCCTCTCCTGGGCAGGGCGAGAGTGGGAATTCATTGACAGGCCTGCAGGTGCGCGCAACAGCCTGAAGCCGACCAGACGCGCCGAGTGGTGTGTTCTTGAGACGCACTTTGGGGCCCTGGCAGAGCACACCCTCGGAAACCTTTCAAAAGGGAATGGTGACACCCAACTCGACTTTGACAAACAAACTGCGAGGCGGAAAAGGAGGGAGACGTAAGACGGGGAACAGGAAGAGGACGGAGAAGGACGAGTACGAGAAAATCTCTGGCGTTCACGTTTTACACAAAGTGGACAATTTAGCTGGGATCGCTCGCCACACGGTGGCATCCAACCCAACCTAGGGCGACAACAAATGTTGAGTTCTAAGGGGTTGGTTTTGCTCGAGAACCTCTCGAGTCTCATTGTAACCGAGATGGTTCCTTGATTCTGTTGTCCAACGCCCCACACATCCTTCCCCCTTTCCTCGTCCTCGCCTCCTTGGTCTCGGCCCATCTCTCTCTCCATGTGTTTACCGGTAGATGCTACCGCGCGCGTTCAATTGCCTGCTCACTACAGTTCGAAACACTTTTCAAGACTGTCGAAGGTGTGTTTTTGATGAACTTTCAGAGGTGGCATGAACTTGTCTTTGGGACGATCACTTACAAGGGGCACTCGCTCGCACAGTTTGGTGAGCCATGGCACGTCGCCGTTCGAGACCAGGGAAAATGGCGTGTGCAGGCTGAGGGCTACGCGCCAGATTTCTGAGTTCAATTCAGCATGCCAATTTTCTCTCGCCCGCTCGAACTCGTACTTTTCTCTGCCCAAGCCCTCCTGCGGACCGGCTCGACTCGACCGGGCCGTGCCTTGCCTTTGTGGTGACAAACCCAAGACGTCGTTCTCCTAAATCTTGCGAGGTCTGACCGCCTCCTCCTGCTCCGCCTCCTCCTTATTCTCCCCTCCCTCCCCGCTCCTCTGTCGCCGCTCCCCCTCCCCCCCTCCTCCTCCTCCTCCTCCTCCTCCTCCTCCTCCTCCTCCTCCTCCTCCTCCTCCCCTCCCTCCCCGCTCCTCTGTCGCCGGTCCCCACCCCCTCACTCGCTGCTCCTCTCCCTTCCGCCCTCCCTGCCCTCGTCCCTGTCCCTCTCCTCCTTCCTGCTGACGTCCTCTGCTGCACAGTCCCTCTGCGCGCAAGGGCCATGACAGTTGGGGTGGCACAAAGAAGCAAAGGAGGGAGCACAGTCGGCCCAGATTAGTAGGTCGACCCTGCCAAATCAAGGGTACCCTTGAGTCCTGCGTCTCGCGACCCATGCTCCCTACATTCCTGTGGCAGTGTGGCCCTCGGAAGGGTATTGTGTCCTCTCGCGTGTCCTCTCCAATCAAGTCCGACCGAAAAGGAGCAAAGGAAGGAGTAATGGGCGCAAAAGGTAACCAGCGACAATTCAGACGAGCGGAGTCACAACGCTTACCTCGGGGCCCCACGAAGCCTGCCGAGGGGCCAGGAGCAGACCCCGCGGACCAAGCACAGGGTGGGCCGCCGGCCTCCGCGGGGCCGCGGCCCCGCCGCCGTCCTCCGCCTGCAGACGCTCCCCGCACGCGCGCGGCGCGGTGTCGGCGCTCTCCCGCTCGCCCCTCGCGTCCGCCCTCCTACCCGCCCAGGGTCCGTCTCGGTTCGGTCGCTCTGGCCGCGGCCGCGGCTGCGGTCGGGGCTGCGGCTGCGGCCGCGCCTGAGAGGGGGGAGCTTTCGTGAAATTTTCGCGACGGTTCCGATGTTTCGGGTGTTGCTAGGAATGCCCCTGGCCCAAGGTGCCCCCAGGATTCTCGGGGTGGCCCAGACGGCCTCCAGCCCAGAGGGCCCCAGGGGCCAAAAATGGAGCGAAAAGCTGGCCAGCTGGCCGGTTCGGTTCGGTCGACCTGGCCGGCTCGCTATCGACGACGCCCCTCTTTCTGCCCTCCTCGGGCGCGTTTTCCTCGGAGCACGGCCCGCGGGGAGGCCGCTGGGCTCCGCGGCCCCCCGTGGAGATGTCGCTGCCGCTGCCGCCGCCGACAGTGTCAGGATGAGGATGGACGGGGACTGCGAACTTCAAACTTCGAGCCTCCAGCCTCGAACTTCGAGCATCGATGCTTTTAGGCCTCCGGAGGGATTCGTCGCCACGACCAGATTCGCTCCGATGTTCCGACATCCCGATCGGTCCGATTCGATGTCGACCCAGTGCAACTGCAGCCTGATCCGACGCACACTGGTACGATCCAATTTCCCGATTCGATGCTGACTGATTCTGTCATCCATCTTCCTGCTCCCCTTCGAGGGCGTCCAAGAGGGGTCGAGGACAACGTGTGTTTGCGTGTATGCGTCTGTGTGTCTGTGGGTTTGTGTGTGTGCGTGCTTGCGTGTTTTTGACTGTGTGTGTCTTCGTGTGTGTGTGTGTGTGTGTGTGTGTGCGCGTGCGTGTCTTCGCAGCCGTACAGTTGATGCTTTTGCAGCCCCGCGTGCAGCGCGGCCCCCCTGGGGCGGCTTCACGCGCGCTGCCAGCGTCGTGTGATCTCTTGACACGACGCTCGCGATGTCTTGACATCGATGCCTTCCCGCCATGCGATCGCCCCCGCTGGGCAACGCCCCCTCGCTGCTTGCTGGCCGCGGCATGCACGCGCCCGCATTTTGCCCCTGCTGCGAAGCGCTTCCGTTTAGGGCCCTCGCCCGCGGCCGCCTCCCCCATCCCTGCGCCGCCCGTTTGGTGGCGCAAGCCGTTGCCGCAACGCCCGCTGGCCGTGCCGGCGGTTCGCCGCCTCTCCGCTGCGTTGCCTTGCCCCGCCACTGCTCTGTGAGGGGGCGGCGTGTCTTCTCTGTGACCTCCTTCACCAGACCAGCGCTAGCCCGTCGTGTGCGACTACTCATCGGCCGTGTGGTTTCGGGCCCGTGACGCGAACAAAAAATGAGAGTGTGTGTGTGTGTGTGTATGTGCCCGTAACCTTTGGCTCAAGCCGTCTCCCAGGGGTGTTCTCCCCCCTTCGGGTCGGGGCTCGAGGTTGGCCGGCGCGGCTGCGCCGCGCGCCGCGGCTGCGCCCGCCGCCTCGCCATGCTGTCCCTGGAGTCTCTGGCCGCCCGGTGGCGGCTGCAGCGGCGGGCGCGCGCAGCGGGGGCCGTCTCCCCCCACAGCTGGAAGGGGAGGGGCCACTGTTTGCCTTAGGAGTATGCCAGCCCCGCGGTGTGAGGGTCAGGCTTTCCTATGGTAAGTAGGCATGCCATAAGCCTGGGGCGCCCTCCAGGGAGGGTGGCGGCTCAGTGGACGCGGAGAATGGAGGTCACTGCATTGGTTGGTTGTTGGGGCAGGCTGTGCGTTTTCCTACGGTCGAGGGTCGCCTGATCCCAGCTTGGATATCATGCGTTTGAAGCAAATGTTACCCAGCGTGGGCCCCAACAGTTGTGGCTCTAGCAAAATAGTTTGTGGAATCTGGCGCCCCCACCACTGCCGTTTTCCCAAGCACGCGCGCAAGGGCGTTCGGATGATTTCGACGCGCGCGCGAGAGGCCCGTCTGGTCGAATTCGGTGCACACGTGAGACATGATGAACGACCAGTGGTTTCACAAGAATTTGCAAAAGCGCGCATACTTTACTGTCACGCCTCACGCTTCAAATTCGCGTGCTTTTTATAACATCTGTTCGGGGGAGCTTTGTCTCAGGACTCGAATGGACAGTTTCAAGGAATTCCGAGTTCTCCTGCTCGCCAGGGCGCAATCCCTTGTCAGTATTGGCGGCGACTTAGAAATAGATGCGGCACATGCACTATGCAGCAATATATGGATGCGGGAATCCAGTTCGCCTGCAATGCCCTTGCTATTTTGGCGGCGCGTAAACGACCGAGAGTTTGCCTGGGAATGGGGGGGCCTTGGAAGCACAACAAGTTGCTTGTGCCGCCTTACCATGGGTTATACACTGGGCGCATTCTGAACAGCAAAGAAAAGTAATCGCTCAGAAGTGCGTCGGGAAACATTGCCTTTTGGAGCGCCTGACCGCTGGTAACATCCGACTCATGTTTCTTGTTTGTACCTGCGTGCTCTATTACCTGCGAGTGGCAGTGCCCCTACCCACTCATTCTGGAACTCTGACGTTCGGATCTACCACGGTCAATTAGTCGAAATGTGGTTTTCCACCCTCCCGCGTCTCGTTTGCACTTCGCGTCCGTTGGTCATCAGCAGCGACGCGCGCGTTGCAGGTGCCATCGTGCCAGCTGCTCCGAGGCACAAGCGCACACGCTTCGCGCACAGATCGCGACGGGCCGTCCCCACCAAGCAGTCCAGCCGCATGCCTCTCGACGATGGGGTGGCCCATGGGCGGCGAGGGCAGCGGTTCGCAGCGGCAGCAGCAGCAGCAGCAGCAGCAGCGCTCATAATGCCCGCCACCGCAGCGTGCCCCCCCCCCGGGCGACAGCGCAGGCGGACTGGCTGCTACCTTCCAAGAGTGCGTCGGCAACGTCAGTGCTGTTGGCGAGACGGCGCAGCTTGGCTCGGTGCCGGCGGCGGCCGAGGTTTCCGGGGCTGCCCTTGTCCTCGCCGTCGGGCGCGCTGTGTCCGCGCCCAAGCAGCCACCTAGACCGACGGCCCCCGCGGCATCCGAGCCCGCCCGCGAGCTCGTGAAGTTTTTCGAGGACGCGAGCAGCAACGGCTCCAGTTACACAGCCCCGGGGAGACAACCGCCCAGACGGCGCCCGCGGAGAGCCGCTCGGCCGAGGAGGGACCTGCACTCGAGAATCTGCAGGCGCAGGCTGAGCCCGTGGTCCAGCGGCGCGCCCAGTCGCGGAGAGAGACCGCGGCCGTTCGACCGACCTCGTTTTCCACCGACGACACGGTCATTGAGATTCGCGACGTCTTCACGAGCCTCCGCGCCGTCGATAGCCGGCCTCGTTTGCTGGCGCCCCGGGCGGATTGTTGTCGCGCCCGCAGTTGGGACAGAGCAAGTGTGTTTCTCTTAAACGAAAAATGTGATAACACATTGTGATACAAAAACAAGTGTGATACAACACACACGTGACAAAAACATTGGTTTTTTATCACACTTGTTTTTGTTTATCACACTTGTTCGCATCCTGTGCTATTTGGTTGCGGCTGCAAGTCTGCCGCCACCGCTTCCCCCGCCGACGCCTGCCAAGCCTTCGCTTTCGAGGCCTCCAGCAGCCCGTTTCACTGGCTGGCTACCGGCAGTGCGCGCTGTTTTTTTATATTTGCATCATTGGGCGCGTTCCACTTCTTGCGAAGTGCCTACTCGCAAACGTCCGAACAAATCTGTCCCTCGATGAAATGCATCGTAGATCCCCGGCGGCGGATCCAGGCCATTTGCGTGAAGTTACTTTGCAAGTAGTGGCACGCATGTGTCTACCTATGCAGCATTGGACATATTTTTTGCTTTTGAAGTTTTCGGTGTTCTCCTGGGCGGCCGACGTGCGTTCTTAGGAATATTGGCGCCGTTGTCGCCGTCGTTCCTAGCTGGCCTTCCCGATGTGTGCTCGATCATCTACCTTTTGGGCAGCGAGCTCAGCCATCGAGATGCGCGGCGAGTGGATCGTTGCAGCTGGGGGGGCACACGTTTTCGAGGCCATCGGCGTTGCACCCCCGACGGGTTCAGGGGACAGTGTCCCTAAACTTGTGGAAGTCGATTCATGGAGAGGAAGCATGCTGCCAAATAACTTCAGATGTCTAAAAGATGTTTCAAATATGTTCTTAAACATGCTAAACCATGTTTGAAACATTTGTGGAACATGTCTTATACATTTTAAACATATGTTTAATTCAATGATCGGATTGTTAGAGTGTCCACTGTCATGGCATCCACAACCCTAAGCCTGTTCCTTCTCGGGCCCCTCCCCTTCGGCCCCCTTCTGGCTTCTTCCCTTGCTTCAGACCTGCCCTGCCGGGCTGCCGTCGCGTCGCTTGCTTGGTTGGCTCGCGCGCGTCGCCCCCGTTCTTGACGGGGGGCCCGCGCCGCCTCCGAGGGGGTGTTTGGCGTCGGCCAGCGATCGCCTGGACAGTATACAGTCAAGACGCTGAAAGAAGGAACAGTTTGGGTTGGGAAGGAGCTCGATGTTCCGTAGGTTTTCCAGTGCTGTTCCTCTTGCCCTCCTGGGGCACGGAGGCGCTCACAGGGCCAAGAAGGGGCTTCGTTCCTTATTTAGCGTTCCTTCTTTCAGCGGCCCGACTGTATGATGTGGAGTTCTGGCAGGTCACACCCTTCTGCATGCAGTGTCATGCGCATGTGCGTGCGTGTGCGTTCGCGTGCGCGTTTTTCACCGGGCGCGTTCCACTACTCGCAAATTGCCTACTCGCAAACGCCCGAAAACACACATGTTACCCTCGATATGATTTATCGTAGATCCCCCGCGGCGGATCCAGGCCATTTGCGAGCACCCACTTTGCGGGTAGTGGAACGCGCTCGTCTAGTTTTGACATTTTGGTATCCCGAACTTTGCAGTATGTAATGTATTCAACGTACAGCTTTACGAGTTTCTTGATGTGCATTCCTCGCTTCTTCTGTCTGGGTCTGCGCACACGGTTGACAGGCTTGTCACGCGTTGCGTCTTCTCAGCATGCTGTAGCCCAGCAGTGCTTTGTTGTCGGATGCGTTTGTCGTGTTCATGATCCAGTGGGTTAGGCTGCCGCATCAGGCCACCTGGTCGCGCACGATCTTGGGTCGCTGGGGTTCAGGAGTGCTTCTGAGAAGAATTGGACAATGTGCATCGCAGTTTCAGTCGAAGCCTGTTTTTTGACGATAGATGCTGACTCCTCTTGTCTTCGATGATTTTTTATGGCTGCGCCGGTATCGCCCTTGTTCAGGACATCGCTCGCGCCGACAAGGGGATTCTGGGATGTTACGCCAAACGAGGTTCTACAACTCCTCATCAACTTTTTCTGTGTGTGGGTTTCATGGCCTGAGCCACTGGTTCTCCCGGATCACATGGCCCTGCCCCTTCTTCTTTGCAGGCGCCCTTTGGCCCCTCTCGTCCGCGCGCGCCTCGGGCCATGATGCGCGAACCCAACCAATTCTTGCCCCCCCTGCCTCACGTGGCTTTCAGGAGTTCCCATAAACATGTTGAACCGGTTGGGTGGGGCCCGGGTGGGGGGGATGGCAAGCAGTGCGGGCACTGGCGGGGATGGCAGCAGCTGGAGCCGCGGCCGTCTGCCCCGCTGGCCAGGGCCCGGGAAGAGCCACGCTCGACCCTTTTTCGGCGCACCCGACCCCTGCTCCCCCCTCTTCTCGGGTCGGACGACGGGGCGGGGCAGAGAAGGGTGGGGGGGGGGCGGGCGATGTGTGCTGCGAGCGGCTGGTTTCGGCCCCGCCGGGCCGCTGTCCTCGTTGCAGTGACGCGTTCGGTGCTGGGACAACCAGCTGCTTGAGGTGATGCGCTGATCCTCCCTTCGTCCGCCCCTCCTCCTTCCTCCTTCCTCCTCCTACTCCTCCTCCTGTTTCTTTCCTCCTCCTCCTCCTCCTCCTCGTACTCTACTCCTCCTCGTACTCCTCCTCGCACTCCCTCGGGCCCTTGCCTTCGTCATGCCCCACGCCGGACCTTGATGGAAGGCCCCCCCCCCTCGGGCGGGGGGCGCTCGTCGGGAGCCTCTCTTCTGCGGTCATGCCGCGTCCGCGTCCCTCACACTCTGTTTTTTTGTCTTTTTGTTTTTGTTCTCTCTCTCTCTCTCTCTCTCGCTTCTTGCGTGTTTGTGCCAACCTCCCTCCTCATCCCCCTCCTCGTTTCCTTGTCGTTCCCTCCTCGTTCCTTCTCCTCCTCCCCCCCTCGCTCCATCATTTTCTCGTCACCCCTCCCAGCTCGCCCACCCATCCTCCCTCCTCCCTCGTTTTTGTTGGTTCCTCCCTCCTCGTTCCTTTGACCTCTGGCTGCTGCTTCTTCTCTTCAGGGTGTACGGGGAAGCGCGGTTAGGGCCGCGCTCTTGAGAGAGCTCGCCCAGGTCGCAGGACGAGAGGTGGAAGCAGGCGGTCAAGCTGGCGAGGGGCGACATGAGGAGGCAGCTGCGGATGCTCTTCGGCGTCCAGGACACCAAAGGGGGTGATCGGGTGGAGAACGGCGAGTGTGAGTGAGAGAAAGAGAGAGGAGAGAGAAAGAGAGCGAGAGAGAGAGAGAGAGAGATTGAGAGAGGGATAGAGCGAGGGAAATACCCACACGAATACAGAGAGGGATGGAGAGAGCGAAAGAGAGAGAGAGAGAGAGAGCGACAGACAGACAGACAGACAGACAGACGGACGGACGGACGGACGGACGGACGGACGGACGGACAGACAGGCAGACAGACAGACAGACAGAGATAGACAGACAGACAGGCAGACGCACGGAGGGACGCACGCAGGGACGGACGGACGGACGGACGGATAGACGGGCGGACAGACAGACAGGCACACACACACATATATATAGAGAGAGAGAGAGAGAGAGAGCGAGAGGGCAGGGGGGACTTTGGGGAAAGGCGAGAGTGTGGGGCTGCTGAAGAGGATAACGAGGACAGGAACTGGTCACATGTATGGAGAGTGAGGAAGGGGAGGCGGAGGAGATAATGAAGCTGTCGACGATGATGATCACGACGGTACTGATGATCCTGATGATGACGATGGCGATGACCATGAAACCGATCGTGTTCACGACGATGACGATGACACTGGCGATTATGCTGGTGATGATGTTGATAGTGTTGACGAAGGGAGGAGAAGGATGATGCGAACAATGAGGAGGTGGAACGATGGGAAGAAGGCCGTTGGAGGAAGAGGGGGAACGTCTTTGAATGAACGTTTGTGTAGGATGGCGAGGATGCGTCGGAGTCGGACGAGCAGGAATAGGGGCCTCAGGAGGCGGAGTTGGAGGAGCCATGCCCCTCTGCGTACCGCCGCGCTCGGGACGCGATGGGCGTGGGTGGCAGGCCCCCCCCCCTCCTCCAGGAGGAGGAGGTGGAGGATGAGGAGGATGGACGAGGGAGGAGGGAGGAGGGAGGAGGAGGAGGGAGGAGGGGGAGGGGGGAGGAGGAGGAGGAGGGAGGAGGAGGAGGAGGAGGCGGAGGAGGGGAGGAGGAGGGGGAGGAGGAGGAGGAGGAAGAGGAGGAAAAGGAGAAGTAAAAGGAGGAGGAGGAGGAGGAGGAGGAGGAGGAGGAGGAGGAGGAGGAGGGGAGGAGGAGGAGAGGAGAAGGAGGAGGAGGAGGAGGAGGAGGAGGAGGAGGAGGAGGAGGCGGAGGAGGGAGGGGAGGGAGGGAGGGGAGGGAGGGAGGAGGGAGGGAGGGAGGGAGGGAGGAGGAGGAGGAGGAGGAGGAGGAGGAGGAGGAGGAGGAGGGAGGAGGAGGAGGGAGGAGGAGGAGGAGGAGGAGGGGAGGAGGAGGAGGAGGAGGAGGAGGAGGAGGAGGAGGAGGAGGAGGCGGAGGAGGAGGAGGAGGAGGAGGAGGGAGGGAGGGGGAGGGAGGAGGAGGAGGAGGAGGGAGGAGGGGAGGAGGAGGAGGAGGAGGAGGAGGAGGAGGAGGAGGAGCAGGAGGAGGAGGAGGAGAAGGAGGAGGAGGAGGAGGAGGAGGAGCAGGGAGAAGGGAGGAGGGAGGAAGGATGAGAGAGGAGGGAGGAGGGATGAGAAGGGAGGAGGGCGGGAGACAGGGCAGGCCGCCCCCCCCTCTCCCCTGCCAGTCCCACCGCAGTGGCGCGCGCTCCTCCGTTTGCCCAGCCTCCGTCGGTGGATCAAGAGGGGGTACTGAGAGATGGGATCCTAAGGATGGGAAGGGATCCAAGTCGGAGGAGGAACAGATACCCATACCGCTACCCTTCCATCGTTTTCGCCTTTTTGGGTCTCCTCGGAGGCACTCCACGCCACCGCTGGATCCACCTCAAAATCCTGGTCACAACGCACCTCAGAAGAGGTCAGGGGAGTAGCGGTATCCGTACCTCTTGGTTTCCCCACCAAGGATGGGAAGGGATCCGAGGATGGATTTGCATTGTTTGAGGCACTTCGTCTTTGTGACCCCATCCCTCAGGACCCCATCCTTGAACCACGGCGTGGGGGTTCGGGATGGCCGCACGGGCTTGGGACTCGGGTCGTTCTCCGAGGATGTCTGGGGCGACCAGGGCCTCCAGGGTTCAAGACGTTGCGGTGACGGACCGTGCGGTGAGGCCGTCGGGGAGTTCGAGGTTGGAGCCCCCAAGTTTTCCGCCTCCTCGCACCCCGAGGAGGCCCCTCCAGCGGCGTGGCATGGCGCAGGCAGGGATCCGCCTACGATACGACTCGATTCGATGCGGTACGCTGGCCTGGGCCGCGGTTCCGAGTCGCGATTCCAATTCCGATTCGACCTGGCCCGCTTCACTGGCGTCGGCAAGGGCTAAGCGGAGCCGGGCGCGGTGACCCGATCTCGATTTCGATTTGATTCGGGACGCTCCCGTGGCGATCCGATCTGCTTCCAGTTTCGACTCGATTTCGCAATTCGATCGACTCAGGGCAGGCTGTAGGGAGGGGAGAACTCCTCGGTGTACTCCTGTGTGCTCCTCCTCCGCCTCCTTGCTGGCGGCACCGGGCGGGATCTTTGGGCAGGAGCAGGAGTGCCCCGCCCACGACAAGGCGACCTTCTTCAGGGAGTTCGGCAGCGTGGCCGAGGCCCCGGCCCAGAGGGCCCCGCAGGGTCCGGTTCCGGTCCGATCGGGGGTGGACAGACCTCCTACCCTGACACGTCGATTAAGGAATTGGCCGTTTTCGGTTCGCGAGAGGGCGTCGCGGCCTTCATTTTTGCGGGTCCAGGTCCGTCGGTTTCGGTCCCAGGCCGTTTTCACTAGGTTTGCTGAAGCGAGGTTTGGCCACCGTCGATCTGAGGTCGCTGCGTTGCGTGCAGGGCTCGTGGGAACCCGCCGCTGCAGAGGCGGATTGCCACGAGGCGCGGGGGCGTGTGGCCGTGGAGGGGCGCTCGGGCTGCTCTCCGAGGCGCATGGGGCGTCCGTCGTCCCGAGGCAGTCAGGTGGCAGACCATCCCGTGAGGACTTCGACCCCCGTCCAGCACGTCGGGACCGCACGCCAGTCATCACATTCCCCAATCAGTGCTTGCACTGAAGATTCGGCGAAAGTTCCCGCCGATTTTGGTAGCAGGCTGGGTTCCTGGGCTCCCGGTTCTGGGTTCCCGGGTTCCCGGTTCTTGGTTCCTGGCCGATTTCGGTGTGTTCTGGGTTCCCGGATTCCCGGGTTCCCGGTCGATCTCCTCAGCGAAAACCACCCCCGGATTGGGGTTTCTCGTTGGCGCAATGGTCTTCAATCCATTTTTTGACAGATGGGTTTGCCATCTCGGGCTGTCGTGTTGGGCTGCCGAGGGCCCTCTTGTAGCCATCTTGGGCCCTCCTTGCGACTGTCACTGCCCGGCCTTCCACCCCCCTCCCAGGCCCAGGGGAGGGGGTAGGGGGAGGGGTCAAGACACCTTCTCCGCACGCAAGCCGTCTAGCTTACTCCCACCCGCCCTCCCACCACAGAAGTGGCATCCGAGTCTCGGCATAGCCAGGGGTCGCCGCTGGATGGACAGCCACTTGGAACCAAAGCGGACGCCAGGTGCGCGACGCTCGCCGCGGGCTCCACATACGCTTGGTGCGCCATCCTTGTACAAAAACGTGATGCCCCCCCGTCAGCATGCTCCAGGTGTTGATGTGGGCGCGTCAGCATGGTTCTGGGCCCTGCGCACAGCAAGCATCTTAGGGTACCCCGCCATCCCTATAAACAAACAATACAATGTGCTCACAGGGCGCCAGCGCACTGTCCAGATTTTGCTGCAAAGTGCACTTCGCACTTATTTTTTGACAGGGATTGCGGAAGTGTTGGCAGGGTGGGCCCCGCAATGTGCAGTTTGTATCGTTTTTTGACAGGTATGGTGGGGGGCCCTCATGGTGTGCGCATGGTTCCGGGTTGGCTGCCTGCCCGGTGGGGGAAGGGGTGATTACTAATGGGGAACAGTGATAAACCCTTCCCCCGAGCACGAGAAGGAGGGGGAGAGAAGACAGAACTCGTCAAACCACCCACGCCCAGAGGGTTGGTGGGATTTTTCTTCATCTGGGTTTGTCATCATTCTGCCTTTGTCTCAGGTCTTGGATTCGGGGGTCCACATCTGGACGTCTCCCTCTCTTTCCCTCTTTATTCTCCGTGCTCCCCGGCGCCCCACGGCCGATCTGTTCCTGTCTGCCCCAATTCGCCCGCGCTGGGTCTCAGAGGATGGAAAAAGTACCGATGCCCGTGCGGTCAAGATCGTTAGTGTTCGTCGGATGTTCTTGTGCACCCTGAGGGAGGGTACCCCCGACTGTTCTTCAGCTTGGCGGGTAGAGGGTCTCGTGTTCTTGAAGGATATCCTTCTGTCCCAGGTCCGGCCGTACCCGCCCCCCGTCGCCACGGTCGGGTTCGTTCGCCCCGCAATTCCGGGCAGAACGTGCCCCGGGGGAGGCCTGGGGAGCATCGGGGAACAAACGTTGGCATACGGTCGGCCCGGATTGGCAGGTCGACCCTGCCAAATCAAGGGTACCCTTGTGTCCTATGTCTCGCGACCCGTGCCTCCTACATTCCTGTGGCAATGTGGCCCTCGGAAGGGTCTTTTGTCCTCTCGCGTGTCCTGCTAAATGAAGTCCGACTGTAAGCATACACCTGTGTTGGTCCGCGCAGATTTCTTGGATCCGCGCTGGGCCATCCTGGCGGCGCCCTTTGGCGCCGCCCCCGGCGCGCTCCGCGCGCCGTGGAGGGGAACCCAGCACCGATGCCAGAAATCCGTGCGGGCCTCAGAGAAATTGGGCTTATGCCGCTTTCGTTGCTCCTCTGGGTCGGGCCGAACGAAAGGGGGATAGGGAAAGGGGGGGTACGAAATCTGCTGCATGCAGCTGGTTTCGGCCCCGCCGCCGGGCCTATTCCTCGGTACATGGGCGCCTCCCGGCGCCGGGAGGCGCTGGGAAAATCAGCTACGTGAGTTGATTCTCAACCCCCCCCCTTTGCTATCCCCCCCTTTCGCCCGGCCCGAAATCCGTGCGGACCTCCGAGAGATTCTTGGCATCGCTCGGACGTGTGCATTTCTCTTTTGGCGAGGACCATTGAGGAGCATCCTTGATCATTTGGCGAAAAAACCACGCGCGAACCATCCGAGCGAGGGCCAGACTTGGGCCTGTGCTGTTTTCGTTGCTCCTCTGGAGCAGTGGTATCGGTATCCAGCCACTTCTCCTAGGGCCCTCGTCTTGAGCAGCGCGCTCGGCTGCTCGCGTGCCTCGCCCTGCCCTCGCTGCCACGCGCCCTCGCCGCGGCCTCTCGTCTCCCGTCGGAGTCGGAGCGCAGCTCGATGGTGGCGTCGCCACCTGGTGTGCCCCCGAAGCACACAAGATCAGAGGAGGAAAGGTACCCATGTCGCCACCCTTCCGCAGCATGTGACCTCCACCCTCCAGCAGCACGTGACTTTCCACCTCCACCTCCATCCACCGACCCCCAGCGCTCAGCACTCCGGACGTCCGAGCGACGGCAAGTCCGTCGTTTTTGCCTTTTTCGGCCTCATGGGAGACCCTCGTCGCCACTGCTGGATTCGCTTCGAAAGCCTGGTCAGAACGCACCCCGGGAGAGGTCCAGGGAGTCCCCAGAAGTGTTTTCACATTTCCTTGAGCCAAACGGCAAATCCTACGGAGTGTACCCCACGCACAGGTCCAACGTCTGATCTCATACTCGCTTCCTTCGGTGCTCCGAAATCGTGCCGTAGCTCCTGATTCGCATTGCCGTCCCCGCCGAGTTGTGCGCCACTTGGGCATTGCGCTATAGCCAAGACGCCCAAGTACGGCGCATTTGCGGTATTCGAGAGGTGCTCGTTGTTCCTGAAATCCTTGCAGGGTTGTTCCTCGACCGTTCCGCGTACACCCGTGCATCCTTCGAGGCCCTGAAGGATTTTCTTTCTAAGTAGCGTTCCTTCTGGTAGTAGCTCGACTGGGTTGTTTTTGGTCGCTGTCGCTGCGCGTCGCCCGTTGCCTGTAAGGTGTCCATAATCCTCCTCCTCCTCCTCCTCCTCCTCCTCCTCCTCCTTATCGGAGTGGCAGTCTCGCGGTGCAGTGCCGCTGCCTTTGCCCATACGCTCGGGGGAGGGGGCGTCGGGAGCCCTTCTGGGTCCCTCATAGGGCCGTCTTGGCGTGTAAGGCTCCCAAGGCCAGCTCTTCTACAAGTCTCGTCAGGAATATCCAGGAATGAAAGTTGAACTCCTGGAGCACGATGCTTTCGGGCACTTGTCAGAACATGTTCTTCAATGCTGAGAGGGTGGGGTTTGTTTTTGGACAACACCGCGTCCGAGTCAATAGGCATCCGTCAGCATTGGAGTAGCGCTGACCCCACAATTACCGAATTCAGAAGATTTCTGTTCATTTTTGACGAGGCTTGTAGGTCCATCTTGGGAGTCTCTTGCGAGCCTATTCGGGCCTTCCCTGGGGTTGTCTTCGGGGCCTGTTGGGCCGTCGTGAGCGTCCTGGAGCTCGAGAGCGCGAGCACACGGGCATCATTCAAACGCCCGAGGAAGACCAATGAGGTTGGCTCCGGGAGGCCCTCTTGGGGGTCCTCCTGGGGCACCCTTGGGGCGTTTAGGGGGCCTCCTGGGCCGTGTTGACGCCAGTTTGGGCCTTCTTGGTGCCTTCCTGGGCCGCCTCGGAGCTTTCTTGGGTCGTCTGGAAACCATCGGAGGCAATTCACTGCACATCCAGCAGCACTTCTGAAACAGATTGTCCGCCTGAGCCGTCCGTCCAATCCGCTGGGACGGGACGCCCATGAGGCGTCGACCATTTGATCATTTTTTCGTCCCGGGTAGGTTTTGTTGGCAGTTCTGGGGCCTCGTGAACTTTCCCGCCGTGATCTTCGTTCCGCAGTTTTCCCTGCCCTGAGGACTAGAAATTGTTTGAAACTTTCTGCAGTGATCTTTGTTCACAGCGAGACGGGGTCTGGACCTGGTCCGCTCTTCTTGTAGGGCACCCGATTGGGGCTGGAGCAGATGGGGAAAACTGACATCCCTCCGCGCCGCCGACGCATCGGTGATGCGTCGCGACCTGGAGCCAGCCTTTCTCCATCCCGACGTCATCGATGCATCGGCGACACGGTGCGATCCTCCAACCAAACCTTAGGATGTAGTTCCTGGCAAGTGGATTATGCATCGGTGCTATTTCATCCATTGTCGAAAATCTGCCTACTGCCGAACATTATTGCCTAATCCTGCTTCGTCCGGCTCGATCCGGTCTAGGCCTTGGCTTAATTTGGACCAATCCAGTTCAATGGTCTCTTGATCGGGCTTGGTCCTCCTCCCTTGTTCCACCGCTTTTGCGAAGACCTTTAGGAGTTGCCTCCTCATGCTCCGTTCGCCTCGATGTCTCGCGAGAGGCCTCTTGATCGGGCTTAGTCCTCCTCCCTTGTTCTTACGCTTCTACGAAGACCTTGAAGGGAGTTGCCTCCTGGATGCTGCGCTCGCCCCGGTGTCTCGCGAGAGCCAGGCCGAGCGCCTGCTGGGCCGGTACAACTACGGCACCGTCAGCCGCTCGCGGTCCCCAGACGAGGACATGGACCGGCTCTGCGGCGGGGGCCTCGGAGTCCCCGGGTCCGAGGCCAGGATTCATCCATAATTCAGCAGAGGAAACACGCAGACTCATTTAATCGTCTATCCCCAGGAAAGTATGGGAAAATATGCGAAGTGGGGGGGAAGATGAAAACCCAGAAAATATGGGAGAACATGGGGAATCCTGGGATTTGTGTATTTATTTGTGTGTCCTTCGGCCCCTTGGATCTATCCATGACCGCGCACGTGCGACGGACCTTCGGGGATTTCGTGATTTCGGCAGGCGCAGGATATTGGTACATTCGGGCCCTGTGGGAACTGGGCGCAGATTTCTGGACAACTGGGATAGTTTGGAGTCGCTGTCCCTGGCAGTTCGCGACCCCTTCTGCTGGATTGCCTTACATCGTTGGGCGTCTTTTGCCTGTTTGCTGTTCTCCGGGGCGCAGACACTGCCTCCGTGGCACCCTCACGAGTTTGCCAAGTCGCCTGGGGCAAAACATGGGCGGGGGAGGAGGGTGGAGGGTAAGGGCTTCGAGGAGGGGGGATGGGGGAGGAGGAGGGGGAGGGGGAGAAGGAGGAGGAGGAGGAGGAGGAGGAGGGGGAGGAGGGAGAGGGGGAGGGGGAGGAAAAGGAAGAAGAGCAGGTATGCAGATCCGCCGCCCGCTGGGGTCCTAGGATGTCGGTCCCACGGGCGGCTGTTATAGATGTGTCCCCCCTCGCACCCGGGGGCCTCCGAGGAATCTTGGGGGCGCCACAGTTGCTTCGCCTGCGGTCGCGGGGCGCCCCGTGGGCAGTCCCACCCCTAGCTGCGAAGAGTCCTGGAGACCCCGGACATGCAGGAGGATGGCGAGTTAGTTTCCGTAAGAGGCTGCGAAGGTTGACCCAACCTTCCAAGCTGTGAGCACCTTTGAAAAAGACGTACGTACTCAGCTCGCGGGGATTCGCGTTGGAGGCATGCCAACCGTATCATCGCAAGCTTGCATGAATTACGAGATCAGCTCGTACTGAAGGAAGGCTTTCGTCAGAAAGAGTTGGACGTTACAGCCGCCACCAGGTACCTGAGTAAATTCTGCCCCAAGATCTCCCGCGATGACCCCCCCCGCCGACCCTCCGCGACAGGGGGCGCTTCCTCAGTCACCTCGCCCATTCTGCCCTGGCCCCGATGGGCTCCCATACGGTACTTGCAGAGATCCCCTACCTTCGCTCGCACGAGCTCGGCCATCCCGCTCTTCTACATTCTAAGCGGCATCGTCCAAGGATGTCCTGGCGCTGGTTTCTTATCCGCTGTAGCGGCTGACTTGCTCATGCATGTCGCCGACAGGCGCGTGAACGCCAAACATATCGGCATTGTGAGGGTGTGCGTGGACGACGTGGGAGCCGCCATCATGCGTATCTCAGCCTTTCAGTCTATGCAGCGCGTCTTCAAAGTTGCGGATAGAGGTGCAGCCTTGTTTTTCCAGGCTACAAAGCGTTGTATTGGGTGTCGTTGGCGTATGTGGTCACAGCCACTGGGGTTTTCCGTGGAGCCCCCAATGGAGCCACGACGCGCTGTATTGGGTGGCGCGGCCGCATGCGGTCACAGCCACTTGGGCCTTCGGTGGAGCTCCCTTTGGGGCCACGAAGCGCTGTACTGGGTGGCGCGGACGCATGTGGTCAGAGCCACTGGTTGCGTGCGCAAAGTCAGAGCCTTATTTAGTCATCAACCTCGCCCTTCTCTTGGTATGATCAACCGGAAAACTCCCTCTCCGCTTCTGCTCCTCGGTGCGCCGCTCGCGCTCCCCTCCGGCTCTTATCCTTCGCCCCCTTTCTGCATCCTTAGCCGCCCCCTGCTCCAATGGTCCGTCATTCCCTTGGCCCCGGAGGTGGCCCTCGAAGCTTTGGTATCGGACCTCCCCTGTCTTCTTCGCCCTCCCCCTGCGCGACTGTCCAGACCGTTGCGCCTCCTACGACAAATTCGCGAGAGGCCGGGCCCCCCGTGAAAAATTCGCGAGAGTCCCGCGAAAGATTCGCGTGAATCTTTCGCGCCGTGCGCTGTCCTCTGAGGTGCCCCCCGGGCTACCTCGCCCCCGTGAGACCCCCCTGGGCGATTCGCGAGGGCTGTTCCCGCGCGAGACCTCCCCGGGCAACTCGTGCGGGAACTAAGCGGCGGAGACCTCCCCGGGCGATTCCACCGCTCGGACTGACACCCCCCCGGGCGAGTCGGCCCGTCCTGGAAGCCCCCCAGGCGATCCAGGACCCCCCGCACCCTCCCAGGCGAGCGGGGGCGCCTACGGGAAAAAACCCTGCCTAAGCTCCCCCTTTTGAAGGAACTTTGGCGGGGCGATCCGCGCCGGGGCGGCAGTCGAACCCCCCCGGGCGATCGACCGCGGCAGATCCCCCCCACGTAAAAACACCAAAACACAACCCCAAACACAGCACAACATAACGCAACACACAAAACACACAAAAACATAAGAACGTACCAGACGGAACATAAAAAACACAAACAACACAACAACCACACACACACGCACACAACAATTACTAAATTATGGTTCTGGTTTTACACACCTAGCACTGGGTCCTTCGGTGGAACTCCTTACGCGGCCACGAAAGGCTGTCTTCTCGAGTGCGGACGCATGTGGTCGCAGCCACTGTGGCATTCGGGGCTGCCCATGGGGCCACGAAGCGTTGTAGTCTCATGCGGGGACTCATGGGCCTTCGTTGGAGCTCCCGATGGGGCTACGAAGCGCTGTGCTGGGCGGCGCGGGCGCGTGTGGTCACAGCCACGGGGGCCTTCGGTGGAGCTCCCTATGGGGCCACAACGCGTTGTATTCCCGTTCGCGGCCGCATGTGGTCACAGCCACTGGGGCTTTCGGTGAAGCACCCTACGCGGCTACGAAACGCTGTGTTCTCTGGTGCGTACGCAGGTGGTCACAGCCACTGGGGCTGTCGGTGAGCCCCCTATGGGGCCACCAAGCGCTGTACTGGGTGCGGAGGGAAGAGGCACTGATGGGAGAGGATGGAGAAGAGGGGCGAGGAGGAGAAGAAGGAGGAGGAACGCGGGGCGCTGTCCATTCAACCTCAACGTTAACTTTACATTGTTTTTGACAGAGATGTTGGGGGGGGGCTCATTGGTCCTCGTTGGCTGCCTGTCGCCTGGGGGAAGTGGTGTCAATTAAAAGGTAACAGTGATAAACCCTTCCCCGAAAGGGGGAGAAGGGGGTTGGATTGGGAAACCCGATGAACCATTCACGCCCAGATGGCTGGTGGGACTGGCCGCCGTCCCAAAGGCCGCCTGAAGCCCGTGTTATGGACCGAGAGCCAGCCGGAGACGGGCTGGAGCACGAGTGGAGGAAGGGGACGGGGGAGGAAGGAAACACTAATTGGTTACGTACGCACACGTGAGTTCACATGGGTTTGCGAGAGAGCGCATCACGCGAGCGGTCGTGGCGTGAGGGCGGCCTCGCGATTTGAGCGGGGCACGCTGGTGCACACGGCTGTGCGAGTACGCCCTGGTCGGGCTCCCCAGACAGGGAGGAGTGCGGGGCAGGGCATCGGGCTGCGTCACTTCAGCCCCGTCTCCAGCTCCGCCTCCATCGGCTCCAGCACCCGCGCGAGCCGCATCCCCCGGCGGCCTCGGCAAGGGCATCGGGCGGAGGCCATCTTCTGCCTTCGCCCGCGCTGCTAGCGCGCTCTCCTGGACCTCGCTGTCCTCGGGCACGGCTTCTTGGGGAAACCAAGAGACACCGATTCCGTTGCTCCAGGGACCCCGCCTGAGTTGATAAGAATCTCGAGGGGAGCGCAGCCTGGGCGACGAGGGCCGTCCAGGACGAGCAGCAGTGTATGGGTGCATTTGTCCGGGATCCACCGGCGGGTTTCGCCGCGCGCTCCCGAGGCGTGATCGTCTTCGACAACGACCCCACCACCGCGGACGTGCCCAGGCGCGGCGCTCCCGGACGGCACGGGGCCCGGGAGGGGGAGGGACGGAGCGAGGGAGGGAGGGAAGAGGAAGAGGATGAGGAAGAGGGAGGAGGAGGAAGAAGAGGAAGAGGGAGGAGGAAGAGGGAGGAGGAAGAGGAGGAGGAGGAGGAGGAGGAGGAGGAGAAGAAGAAGAAGAAGAATACGGAGGAGAAGGAGGAGAAAACGGAGAAGAGGGAGGCCGTCTTGGTCCCCGTCCTGCGCGGCCAGAGCACGGCAGGGGTGTTCGGGCGAGGCCTGCGGCGGCGGAGCATGGGTGTGGATAGCGCCACGAAGTAGGGACATCTGATATCGGAGGCCGATTTGTGGCCACTGCCCCCGCGCGCGTGCCCTGTACCGGCCCCGCTTGCGTGTGGGGGGTGGTGTGCAGGAGTCGCGTCCCCTGGGGATGCCATTTTTGCGCACCACCCCCGCTCCACGGTCTTGTACCAGACCAGCTTGTATGTGGCGGACAGGCGCATCCCCCAAACATGACATCCGTTTGCCAGCAGTTGCCCCACGGAAAGTTCTTCTCCCCCAGTGGCCCCAGGGGCCACAGAAGCTCTCGGGCACCTCGTTGGGACCGAATGGTTATGAAGAAAATCCGGGAGGCCTCGCGAGGCGCGTAATAGTTGTATTAGTTAGTCGACACGTCAGCTCCGTAAGCTATGGGTCGACGCTCGCGCGGCGATGCTCCTGCGTCAGTCCGACGTGAGTCCGACGTAATTCCGACGTAGTCCGACGTGAACCCGACGTAAATCCGACGTGGATCCGATGTAAATCGGGTCTCAAGTTGCCACGCGAGGCCTCCAGGATTTTCCTTAAGAATCTGCCCCAAGGATTCTTGTAGCACGGGTTCTTACCATATGTGACTTATGTAAGGGGCACGGGCCTGGACTCGGTTCGGGGGGTTAAGGAATGTGCTGCATGCAGCAGGTTTCGGCCCCTTAGCAGGGAGCCTCCCAAGATACACAGCCGCCTCTGACGCCAGGAGGCGCTGGAGAGATCAGCTACGTACGTGAGCTGATTCGGCAACCCCTCCTTTAATCACACCCTTTTGATGTCTGTTCAAGGGAGCCTTGGGCGTCGACATTAAAATCAGCATTTCCTCCATGTGGACCACATTTTGCCCTTTCTCTAGCCCTTTTTATTCCTCATCCCCCTTCTCGTTCTTCTCGTCTCCCCCGTGAACCGGCGAATCCTGTCCAAACCTGGCCCAAATGCGGCCAACATGTAGTCCAACTCGGGTCCAAATCGGACAGCGCTGCGGGCCACGTAGGCTCCCACGGGACAGACGCCAAAATTTCCCCCATTCCGTCCGACCCGATACATGGGTTCAGGAGCCATCCGGAGCAGGAGCGGCAGTCAAATCCAGCTGGGTCGAAAGAGTCAGCGGGCCCCGTCCATTTCCACCTTCCCTCCCATAGGCATGAGAAACACATGGTGGCACAGCTTGACTTTGGGACTCGGCCGCTGAGGGAGGTGCCCCACGGCGGCGCCTTCACGTGCTGATTTCCAGAGTCTCCTTCGCAGCTTCGGGGGCGCATGAAGGAGGAGGAGGAGGAGGAGGAGGAGGAGGAGGAGGAGGAGGAGGAGAGGGAACATGATGGTGATGATGATGATGATGATGATGATGATGATGATGATGATGATGATGGTGATGGTGATGGTGATGGTGATGGTGATGGTGATGGTGATGGTGATGATGATGATGATGATGATGATGATGATGATGATGATGATGATGATGATGATGATGATGATGCTGATGATGATGATGATGAGGATGATGATGATGATGATGATGATGATGGTGGTGGTGGTGGTGTGATGATGATGACGACGATGATGAGGAATAGGAGGAGAAAGTTGATAATGATGATGCTGATGATGATGATGAGGATGATGATGATGCTGATGAGGATGAGGATGAGGATGATAATGATGATGATGATGATGATGATGATGATGATGATGATGATGAGGATGAGGATGAGGATAATGGATGATGATGATGATGATGAGATGATAAGGATGATGATGATGATGATGATGATGATGATGATGATGATGAATGTGATTATGATGATGATCATGTTGATGATGCTGATCATGCTGATGATGATGATGATGATGGTGATGATGATGATGATGCTGAGGATGATGATGATGATGATGAGGATGAGGATGAGGATGAGGATGAGGATGAGGATGAGGATGAGGATGAGGATGAGGATGATGATGATGATGATGATGATGATGATGATGATGATGATGATGATGATGATGATGATGATGATGATGATGATGATGATGATGGTGGTGGTGGTGGTGGTGGTGGACAATGACTAGCCCTCGCTCGGGTGGCCGATCAGATGATCGCGGGGAAGATGGAGCATGCGCCGCGCCCAGACAGCACTGCCGCTTTCACGCGCAACCTGCGCGGAGCTTCGGCGGGGACAGCATTTCGTGTGCTCTCGCGCATCCCCGCCGCGATTGCCGCTTTGATGCGACTCGGCGAGCGAAGCATGCGCCGTGATCACCAGGGAACCCCACTAGGCGAGGGCGACCAGTCGCCTGCTCGCGCGCAGCCCCGGGGCCGGAGAGCCACTTTCAGGCGAGGGCTGCGTTTTCAGCCGCTCGCGCGTCGACAAACTGTCACACGAAAAATGCGCGCCGCGCCAAAGCGGAAGCGCAACCTCCAGGGAACATGAGCGCGGCACCGAGGCGAGAGTAACATTTCGCCATTTTACGCGCGATGTGCGCCCCGTCCCATTCTCGCCACTTTGCAAGGCCGACGCCAAAACGTCAATGTTCGACGGACGCGCGCTGACTACATTATATGCTTTTTCCAGTCGGATGGAACCTCTTGGAGGGATACCGCCCCAATGAGCTGGTTAGCTGGTTAGGTGACCTGGGAAGCAGCACACTGGCCCCAATGGCTGGCGTTTACTAGACAGTCCTGCGTGTTTGCGAACTGCCAAACTCCTTCTGTCGTGATTTCGAGAGGATGTCAGGGGCCTCCCCCGCCCCCCGCCCCTGGAGCGATGGGAGAGGGGGACCCCCCCCAAACCGATCCCCGAGAAGGGACTCGGGGAGGAGTCAGTCATCTCCCGCGCGACGGCAGTCCCGAGGGGGTCGGCGAACAATCACACGCGGGCGCGCCAGCGTGGTGATCGAGGGATGCCGCCTTCTCGCCGCCTCTTTGTGTGGCCATGTGGGTGTGCGAGCCCATTCGCAGTGAGCACAGAGCTTGCTTCCCGCTTGTTTGGGCAGTGGGAAGGCAACGTGGAAGCGAGATCCCGCTCTGTTTTGCCGTAGGGGCGGAACGTGCGGGGAGTTGGTTGGTCTTCCGTGAATGAGTACTGGATGCACAACACGATTTCCGACTGACAGTAAGATGTGAGTTCGTGCAGTTGGATGGTAAGGCAGGTTGATGAGCATAATCATACCGAGGACTACTAAATGCAAGCACGAGTTCTGTATATTCTACCCTGTTCCCCCTGCTGCTCCTCCTCCTCCTCCTCCGTCATCCTCCTGCTGCTCCTCCCTCCTCCTCCTCCTCCTCCTCCTCCCCCTCCTCCTCCTCCTCCTTCTCCTCCTCCTCCTCCTCCTTTGTGTCCTTCTGCCTCTCGGCCGGCCAGGTACACCATCCGCACGAACGTTACGGGCTTGGACGCCACTGGCTCTGTCGCCCAGAGGGTGGTCGCCGAGCAGCAGAGGGGGGTGCCACGGGCCGGCGAATCCCCGACGGGAGTCCGGGGGGCCGCGGCATCACCGACGGCCCGTTGCCCGTGGGCGGGCCGAGTACGGCAGGGGATCGTGCCGTGTCGACGCGGTGGCGCACCAGCGCGAGCGTCCAACGCTGAAGTCTGCCACTGGCCCGGAATCGGCCAGCGTCGAACGACGAGCGGCATCGGAAAGGTCGACACGTTGCGATTGTTTCGAGGTCGAGCGGTCCAGGCGGTGCCAGAAGCCAGGATGGCCTGAGCCCCGACCCTTTCCCCCGGGGCTTCTTTTGCGCCTTGAGCCGCCGTTTGAGGGCCCCCGGGGCTCAGCGAGGGCCCTCTGGAGGCCGAGAGCGACGAACAGAAGCCCAGAGGGCGCGCGGGCCGTCCCGACACGAGCCCGTCGGCGGTGGCAGGGGCGGCGAGTCACGGGAGCAGGACGTCGTGATGATGGCACGCTCAAAGATGCTCAGGATGTCCCAGGTCTCCCTGACTCTTTTATCATGTGTTCCAAAAGGGGCCCCAGGGGAAGGGACTTCTGAAACGGGCGATGCCGATTTCTCAAGTCCGTTCGGCTTCGCCCGCAAGGTCGCTGCGCGATGCTTTCGCTCGCATCTGGCGAGGTCTCAGATGCAGCGCCGGCCTCAGAAGTCCCTTTGCGCTGGCGTCCCTTTAGGAACCGTGTCATGTCACTGCTTCGCACGGGCTCCAGAAACGAGGGCCGCTGGACTTGGCATCGCTCGGACGTGTGCATTTTTCCTTCGGTGAGGACCATCGAGGAGCATCCTTGATCATTTGGCGAAACATCCACGCACGAAACCGAGCGGTGGCCAGTGGATGCTGTGGGATTCCTGGAGCGCATCCCGAGCAGATGTGCACCACGACAATGTTCCAGCCCCAGAGCAGGCCGGGCGGTCGCTCCGAGCGAGGGCCGCTGCGCTCCCCGCAGCGCGATCAAAGCGCGCGCCTGCTGTGCTCACTGGCCTTCGGCCTCTGGGACCTCCTCGATCCGCTGTTGGAGAGACGTACGACGTGAATACTACTCTCCTCTCTCCCCGACTCTGTCCAGCAGATCCCCCGCACCCTGCGCGCACCGTTTTTTATTACACCAGATTGGTCACGCGCGGTATCATTCCTACGGCGTGCTGCAATCCGATCGTTTGCAGTGTTTCCCGCTGCAACAGGGCCTCATGTTCGGATCAGCGATTTGTTCCCGTCGTGCATAATGGCGATCTCGCCCCAGCGCGGGCCACCTTTCTGGATCCGATTCCTTCTCCATCGTTGTCGCCCCCCTGGTTTCCCCTCCGCATTCACCTGGTCCTCCTCCTCCCGCTTCTTTCGCTCTCCGCATTCACCTGGTCCTCCTCCTCCCGCTCCTTTCGCTCCAGTCCTTATCTTTTCCCTCTTGCTCATCATCCTGCTTGCCCGCCACCTCCTCCCTGCCTGCCGTCGCACTCAGATAGGCCCTGGAAGCGTGACCGACGGCATCATGTGACCCATTATTTGCGAACTGCGAGAGGAAATTATAATTAATGCAGGAATTTGAGAACGCCAAGCAAATGTTTTGAAGCGGCACGTGCGTTCTAGAATCACCGAATGATTTGCTAGTGCGCAGAATGAAGGTCTATAATCCAATTTAGCATCAACCACAGACACCAAATATGCCTAAAGAGCCACAGCCAATTAATTCTAGAACGAAATATCCAGCTGCCTGCGGCAACCCCGCCACCGTGCCTTTGCAACAGCGCTGCAGGAAGGAATCTGGGTGTAGGAACAGCGCAATTCCGACGACTGGTCTGAACTAGGACGGGTCGTGAATTCAATCTTGTCTTCGTCGGTGCGGTAGGAAGGAGGTCGATGCCACGCCCCGAGGCAGTTCAGGAATTCGGGAGGGTCGTGATCTCGACCTGGTTTTGCCCGCGCGGTATGGAGGAAGATGAGGAAAGGGGTGGAGGAGGAGAAAGAGGGTATTGACCATATGAGCGATGCGGAGAAGGACTCATGGGCCCTTTTCTCGGGGCCTCCTGGGTGCTTTAGAACTGCAACGTCGTGTTTGTTTCCCTACGTGGACCTTAGACCCCATTCCCCGGGACCCGTGTTTCATCCCGAGTCGTGTGTGGACGGTCCAAGGGCCCAGTTAGGGGCCCCCAGAGACCGAAAATTGCAAAGCACCTCGCGTCGCCATGTTTTCCGCAACCAGACAGGAGGAGGAGGAGGAGGAGGAGGAGGAGGAGGAGGAGGAGGAGGAGGAGGAGGAGGAGGAGGAGGAGGAGTTGCGTCGCCCCCCAGATGCAGAAGCAAGCTCTCGGCTGGTACCAGCAGTCCGGCTTCCTGTCCATGCAGGAGAGCGGGCGCTCCCGATCGCCGCTCTCCCCCACCTGGCCCGAGGTTTTTTTTCCATGTGGCTCGCCAGCGCTGGCAGTGCCTTTACAGACATCCTCGGGCGTCGCGTAATTGGGAGGGGGGGCGCTAAGAATTGGAGGGTGCAGAATGGTGTGCCTTCCGTGCACCTTCGGGACACGAAAGGGGGTCCCCATGGGCCCCGAAAGGTGCACGAAAGGTGCACCCTAGCTCGCCCCGCCCTGTCTTGGGCCCCCCTTCCCACGGAGCAACGCTGCCCGACATCCGATGCCTTGACTTTTCCGATGCGGGGTATCCCGGGCAGTGCGCCGGCCTGACGTGCCGAGCTGTTTTTCGGGGGGGCGGTTCGCTCGGCTCCTGGCGAGGGCCCCCATGCAGTCTGGACGGGCGAGCCGGGACTCGGCGGTCGGGGAGGAGTTGGAGAAGGAGGGGTCAAGACGTCTGCTGCGCGCAGCTGGCTTCGGTCCCGCCCCCTTGCGCTTTCCCCGGCACGCCAGCGCCTTCGGTGCCGAGAGGCGCCAGAGAGACCAGCCACGTGAGCTGATTCGCTGCTACCCCGCCCCCTTTTTACATACTCCGAGTTGCTAAATCAGCGTCGGGGGGGCGTCACCCCCGACGACAGCCCCACATCGACCCCCGTCGCGGCGCGTCGACGAGGCGAGGTTGACCCCCGTCGGGGGGGTACCCCCCACGCTTATTAAGAAACCCAGGGTACCTAAGGCACCCCAATGGGTCCGACGCTAGCGATGGGCTTAGGGTCAGGAGGGGAAAAACACACACAGACACAATTAATCGTCGATTCCATAGAAAATATGGGAAGTGGGGGGAGGACAAAGACCCAGAAATATGCGAATATATGGGGGATCCTGTTATTGGTGTGTATTTCCTTGCGTGTCCTAGGGCCCCTCCACAGGAGTCCGGGAGCAGGAGTGGGAGTCGAATCCAGCCAGGTCGAGCGAGCCAGCGGGCCCCGCACGTTCCCCCCCTCCCCCCCAAAGAACGTGAGAGTCGGGGGTGGACAGGACCCCCCTGGAGCCTCGCCGAAGACGTGGGCCGTCGTCGCCCCTGGATGCGCGCATGGCTCCCCCCAGTGGGCTAACCCAGCACCCCGGATGATACAGTAGCCCCCCCCCCCCTTGACCCCTCAGAGTTGAACATCCCTCGGGGGTGGACAGAACCCCCACCCTGACACGTCGATTAGTGAGTTGTCCGTTTTCGGTTCTCGAGAGGGCGCCGCGGCCGTCATTCTCCAGGCTTGCGCCCGCCAGGTTTGGGCCCGAGGTCGTTTTCATCAAACATGTATTGTCGCATGCCCCCCAGCAGCAGCTTGCAAGACGACCTGTCTCCGCCTCCGCGCGGTCCCTTGGCCATCCAGGGCCTCTGACGCTGAGGGCGGAGAGCGGTGGGGAGGATAGTGAGGAAGGAGGAGGGAAGGAGGGAGGAGGAGGGATGGAGCGGGGAGGAGCAGGGCTGGTTGGGCTACCCCTGGGCCGTTTTTCGCCAGTTTGGGCCTCCAAGGCACGTCTGGATTCGCCTCGATGTTCTGGTCAGAACGCAGCCTGGGGGAGGGGAGTTGCGGTCTCGGTACTCTTGGGTTTTCCCAGGGTTGGGTCTGACAGGGGCGCGAAGGATCGGCAGAGAGGATCGGGGCGAACGGGACAGGGTGGAATGGGCGGGAGTGTGTAGGGGAGAGGCAGGACGGGAGGAGGAAGAAACAGGACAAAGGAGGAAGGAGGACGAGGACGAGGGGGCGGAGGAAGAAGGAGGAAGGGGGATGGCGGAGGAAGGATGATGCAAAGGATGACGAGGTATGATCACAAGCTGACCGAGGTTCGCGCGGACCTCGGAACGTTACTGGGCATGCCGTGGTTTGTCTTTCTACGGGAGAAGGGAGGAGAAGTAAGTCAGATAGGCTGAGCAATACTGAGTCGGATGAGGGATCGTTAGGACTTGGAGGAGGGCGGGTGGGGATTCAGGTAAATCCATTTCGGGGAAATGGACGGGGACGTGAGAGAGAAGGGCCAGGAGGAGTACTTGGCGAGTAGGACGACAGAGCAGGGAGAGCACGGAGGACGACTGGATGCTAAATTGGATGAGGATTGATTTTAGACGAGGAGGGGTAGGGAGTAAGTGCAGCAGCGGGAGGACTATCGAAGACGCCTATGGCGAATGTTTGCCGCCCCCTGCCCTTTTGGAGGCGCCTATGTGGCCGAACGTTGAGGCCAGACCTGCCAAGCTATCGGACCATGTGTTCTCCGAATCGGTTTGGAAAACCTTCGGGGAACACGTGGGCATCTTAAAGGTCATCTTGGCCGTCGGGAGGCCATTTTGACCCTTTCGGGCCTTCTTTGAGAACGTCTCGGAGGGCGCGTGGGCCGTCTTGGAGGCCATCTTGAGCGTCTTGGAGGCCTCTTGGGCCGTCTGGGGGGCCTCTTGAGGCCATCTTGGGCCTCTTGGGTGATCTTTGGGGGCACTTGGTCCGTCTCGTGCCGTCGGAAGGCCGAACACCAGCAAACGCCACAATCCTTGAACAACTCATGGGAAATCCATGTTTTTGGCTTTTTCGGGCCTTCTGGAGGCCTCCTTGGAGACCTCTTGGGCCGTCTAGGGCCGTCTTAGTGCCATCTTCGGCCGTCTTGGTGGGCTCCTGGCCCGTCTGACGCCGTCGGAAGCCGTTTGGGGGGCCTCTCTGGGCCCATTTGGGGCGATCTCGGAATGCTCCAGGGCCGTCTTGGAGGCCATCTTGGGCGTCTTAAAGGCCTCCTGGGCCGTCTTGGGGGCCTCTTAGGCAGTTCTGGGGCCATCTTGGAGGCCTCTTGGGCGATCTTTGGGCGATCTTTGGGGGCTCTTGGGCCGTCTCGGGCCGTCGGAAGGCCGAAAAGATGCAAATGTCAAACTCCTTCAACCACCTCAGGAGAATCCATGTATTTTGTCTTTGCTGGCATTTCTGGAGGCCCTCTTGGAGGTCTCTTGAGCCGTCTTGTGCCACTTCGGCCGTCTTGGTGGGTTTCTGGCCCGTCTGACGCCGTCGGGAGCCGTCTTCGGGGCCGTCTTGGAGGCCATCTTGGGCGTCTTGGAGGTCTCTTGGGCCGTCTTGGGGCCCTCTTGGGGCCGTCTTGGAGGCCTCTTGGACCGTCATTGGGCCCTCTTGGAGCCCTCTTGGCGATCTTGGGGCGATCTTGGGGGCCTCTTGCGCCGTCTTGAGCCGTCGGAAGGCCGAAAAGAAGCACATGTCAACATCCTTCAATACCCAATGGAAAATCAATGATTTTGGCCTCTTCGGACCCTCCTTGAGGACCTTTTGGAGGCCTATTGGGTCGTCTTGGGCCGTCTTGGAGGCCTCTTGGGCGAACCTGGAGGTATCTTGGATTCTCTTGGGCCGTCAAGGAGGCCGTCAAGGACCATCTTTGGCGGACTTGGAGGCCATCTTGGAGGCCATCTTGGAGGATTTTTGTTCGGGATCGGGGTCCTTTGTAATCTTTCTGGGTGGCCGGCGGGACGGGCCGAAGCCCCAGGGGGAGTTCTTTTGGAAACAAACAAAACCAAAACCGAGAGGGTTCAGCACGCCAAGCACCCCTGAGATGAATCGACAGGGGGCGGCGGATCGAAGACGCCTACGGCGAATTTTTGCCGCTCCCTGCCCTTTTGAAGGCGCCTATGTGGCCGAACGTTGAGGCCAGACCTGCCAAGCTATCGGACCATGTGTTCTCCGAATCAGTTTGGAAAGCCTTCGGGAAACACGTGGGCATCTTGAAGGCCATCTTGGCCGCCTGGAGGCCATTTTGACCCTTTCGGGCCTTCTTGGAGGACGTCTTGGAGGGCTCTTGGGCCGTCTTGGAGGCCATCTTGAGCGTCTTGGAGGCCTCTTGGGCCGTCTTGGGGGCCTCTTGGGGGCCTCTTGTGGCCGTCTTGGGCCTGTTGTGTGATCTTTGGGGGGCACTTGGGTCGTCTCGGGCCGTCGGTAAGCCGAGAGAAAGAAAATGCCACAATCTTTCTAAACCTAATTGAAATCAATGATTTTGGCCTTTCGGGCCTGCCTGGAGGCCCTCTTGGATGCCTCTTGGGCCGTCTAGGGCCATCTTAGTGCCACGCTGTCGGAAGCCGTTTGGGGGGCCTCTCTGAGCCGACTTGGGGCCCTTTTGGGATACTCCAGGGCCGTCTTGGAGGCCTTCTTGGGCGTCTTAAAAGCCTCCTGGGCCGCCTGGGGGGCCTCTTGGGGCTGTCTTGGTGGCCTCTTGGGCCGTTCTGTGGCCATCTTGGAGGCACCTTGGGCGATCATTGGGTGATATTTGGGGCCTCTTGGGCCGTCTCGGGCAATCGGAAGGCCGAAAAGAAGCAAATGTCAACATCCTTCAAAACCCAATGGAATATCATGATGTTGGCCTCTTCGGGCCCTCCTGGAGGACCTCTTGGAGACCTCTTGGGCCGTCTTGGGCCGTCATGGAGGCTTCTTCGGTGAACTTAGAGGTATCTTGGACCCTCTTTGGCCGTCTTGGAGGCCGTCAAGGACCATCTTGGGCGGACTTAGAGGCCATCTTGGACCATCTCGGAGGCCATCTTGGGCCAACGTGGCCATCTTGGAGGCCATCTTGAGTCGCCTTGGAGGATTTTTTTCTGGGATTGATCTCCTGGGCAATCTTCCCGGAACCCCGGCGGGACGGGCCGAAGCCCCAGGGGGAGTTCTCTTGGAAAAAGAACCAAAACCCAAACCGAAATAATCTAGCACGCCAGGCACACCTGCGATGAATCTACAGGGGGCGGCGGATCGAAGACGCCTACGGCGAATCACCGCCGCCCCCTGCCTTTGTGGAAGCGCCTATGTGGCCGAACGTTGAGGCCAGACCTGCCAAGCTATCGGACCATGTGTTCTCCGAATCAGTTTGGAAAGCCTTCGGGGAACACGTGGGCATCGTGAAGGCCATCTTGGCCGCCTGGAGGCCATTTTGACCCTTTCGGGCCTTCTTGGAGGACGTCTTGGAGGGCTCTTGGGCCGTCTTGGAGGCCATCTTGAGCGTCGTGGAGGCCTCTTCGTCCGTCTTGGGGGCCTCTTGTGGCCGTCTTGGGCCTCTTGGGCGGTCTTTGGGGGCACTTGGGTCGTCTCGGGCCGTCGGAAGGCCGACAGAAAGGAAATGCCACAATCCTTGAAAAACGTATGGGAAATCCATGTTTTTGGCCTTTCCGGGCCTTCCTGGAGGCCCTCTTGGAGGCCTCTTGGGCCGTCTAGGGCCATCTTAGTGCCATCTTCGGCCGTCTTGGTGGGCCCCTGGCCCGTCCGACACCGTCAGAAGCCGTTTGGGGGACCTCTCTGGGCCGACTTGGGGCCCTCTTGGAATGCTCCGGGGCTGTCTTGGAGAGTTTGCCCTCTTCGGGCCTTCCTGGAGGACCTCTTGTGGGCGTTCTTGGAGTCCTTTTTGGCCGTCTGGGGCCATCGTGAGGCTATCTTAGGCCGTCTTGGATGAATCTTGACTCGTCTGGGAGGCATCTTGGAGCCATCTTCGCCGTCTTGGAGGCCATCTTGGCCGTCTTAGATGCATCTTGGAGACCATCTTGGGCCGTCTTGGAGCCGTCTGGAGCAGGGAAAACCTTTGCAACCAGGTTTTGAGATCCTTCCCGGGACCCCGGCTGGACGGGCCGGAGCCCCAGGGGGAGTTCTTTTGGAAAAAGAACCAAAACCAAATCCGAGAAGGTCCAGCACGCCAGGCACCTGTGCGATGAATTGACATGGGGCGGCGGATGGGGGTTGTGGGGGATTCGGAAAGGGCGGGTACGAAATCTGCTGCATGCAGCTGGTTTCGGCCCCACCGAGGGGCCCATCTCTCGATACGTTGCCGCCTCCGGCGCCGGGAGGCGACGGGAAAATCAGCTACGTGAGCTGATTCTCCCCCCCCCCCTTGTTATCCCCCACTTTCGCCCGGCCCGATAGTAGGCGGAGAATCAACGAAACACGGACGCGGATTAATGCGCGTGGATTAGTGGCTTGTCCCGCTTTCGTTCAAATCGGCGCGCTCCGTCGCCAAATGAGGTGGCATTGGCCGCAGGTTTCGGGTGGGGTACTTTCCTCGATCCTTGGATCTGCCGTCCACACGCCAGATCCACGGATCCCTAATCCATCTAGCAAATGCCCGAGTTGAGCATGATGATGATGTTGATGATGCTCATGATGATGATGATGATGATGATGATGATGATGATGATGATGATGATGATGATGATGATGATGATGTTGATGATGATGATGATGCTCATGCTGATGATGCTGATGATGCTGATGCTGATGCTGCTGCTGCGGATGGTGATGATGATGATGCTGATGATGATGATGATGATGATGATGATGATGATGCTGATGCTGATGATGATGATGATGATGATGATGATGATGATGATGATGATGATGATGAGGAGGAGGAGGAGGAGGAGGAGGAGGACGGAGAAGGGGGAGGAGGGGGAGGAGGGGGAGGAGGTGGAGGAGGAGGTGGAGGAGGACCCAAGAGTCATTTACGATGTTGGAATAAACCCTCCCTCCAAACTCCCTCTTTATAGGCCCCTACGAGGGTTCATTACCACTGAAGGAACTGCCCCGTTGGAAGACAACGTTTGAAGACCTTGAAGCATGCCACAAGATTATTCTCGGGACTCCAACACCACGGATCAGCCTGACTGTTGCATCTTGACGATTTTGAATCGTGCCAGAGAGCCGTTCTTGGAACCTCTACACCGCGAATCAGCATATCTGTTGCACCCTCATAATCCTGAATCTTTCCAATACGCTAGTTCTGGTATTTTGACCATGGGAACCCAGAAACTGCCACAATTTTCAAAAATAATGTGCGCAGCGCTAAGGCGAGAGCCACATGTTGACATACGTGAAACAGTTGCCAATGTTTGAGCGTCAGGGTCATACGTAGGAAGTCTCAGGCGAAACGCCTGGCCGCCCTTTCGACCAGCCTCGGAGTGCGACAGGGACATATTATTTGTAAGGAAAAAGGAATGGAGGAATGGAGGAGGAGGGAGGAGGAGGAGGAGGAGGAGGAGGCCGAGGACGAGGGCGAGGACGAGGAGGAGTAGGACGAGGACCAGGACGAGGACGAGGACGAGGAGGAGGAGGGATGAGAGGGTGGGAGTCAAGGGAGGGAGGGAGGGCTGGAGGTGGATGAGGAGTTGGAGGAGGGAGGAGGGAGGACAGCGACTACGACCCCGCAGGAGCTCGTCCAGGACTTCGTGGCTGAGATCCGCCTCGGGCCCAAGCAGCGCGGGCCTGGGGCGGTCTTCGTCCCGCTGCCCGCAGACAGCTACAAGCTGGACAAGCTGCAGCAGGCGGGCGGTCCTGGCTCCTGTGGCGCTCTCCCGGCTCCCCCATCCCTCAGCACCGTTTATCCGATCCCCATCCCCATCCCCTTCGAGACCCCCACCAAATTACCACCCCAGTTGGGGATACACCCCTCGAAACCCGAAGGGAACGACCTATATCCCCATCTAGGGGGGTACATCGGCCAGCGGGGCCCAGGCCACGCCGCTGGGGATGGGGATCGGATGAGCGATACTCAATCTCCTCGTTGCCAGGACGCATGCGGCGGGCTCATGTCTCAGGAGCGACGTTGGCGCGGGAAGAGGCTCAGACCCCCAGCCGCCCATCATGGATCGCCGACGGGGGCTCGATCATCCGAACCTGCCCAGGAACATTAGGGTTTTTCCGATCTATCGGCGATGTATCGCCGATTTCAGTTCGGCGTTTCCCCCTCCCGATCCAGTCCCTCCCGAAGGCGCCGCCTCCCTTCATGAGGGGGACGTCCAGGTGTTGCTCCCAAGATCCTTTGGGCTCCTGAGTTGCGTATTCGTCCTCCCCATCCTCCCCTTCCTCCTCCTCCTGCTCCTTCTCCTCCTCCTCCTCCTCCTCCTCCTCCTCCTCCCTCTCCTCCTCCTCGTCCTCCTCGTCCTCCTCCTCCTCCTCCTCCTCCTCCTCTTCTCTTTACTCTGATCAGCCAGCGCAGAGTTTCACGCACTTCTGCCCAGGGCTGGCGCCGCTGTTTCCACCGTGTGACTCAGGACGTGTGAGGCATGGAGCAGGAGCCTCTTTTATGCTACCAGCACGGAGGACACCTACCTTGAGGGGGGCTCCCAGGCGTTCTGGGCCGCACGGCGCCAGTGGCCCCGCATCAGCCAATACCCCTCTGCTCGGGGCTCAAGAGACGGGGGTCAGTGCAGACGGGGGTCAGCCAGAGCGCCGGATCTTGAAGGATCCTGCAGGGCCAGGGTCGCAGTGACCCGGGCTTCGGGCTTGGGTGCAGGATTCGGCGGCGAGCGAGAGGGGGAATTGAGAAGGAGAAGGCCTTCTCAGAAGGCGGCGGGACTTCTCAGAAGCCCTCGCGCCTTCTGAGAGGCTTTTTGTGTCTTCGGGGAAGGCTTTTAACACTTCTCAGAAGTCCTGGGGACTTCCGAGCCTCGTGAGAAGGCCCGCCCCTTCTCACTTCCCCCCCCAGGCGCGCCGCCTCAGCATCCTGCAGGATCCTTCGCACTGACCCGGGCTTGGGTGCAGGATCTTGCAGGATTCTGCAAGGCTTGACCGACCCGGGCCTGGATCGACCCGGGTCCGAAGATCCCGGTCTGCGCCGTCCGAGAGCCACCCGAGGCTTGCTGCGGTGTTTGAGACCGGCGCCGGCGCCGAAACGGCATGGGCCTGCCGTAAGGCTCAGGTGTTGCTAGAAGTGTCGCAGGCCCGGAGGTTGACACCAACACCAATATCGGCGGTGTGCCTCCACAGGGGGGAAGAATATTCCCATCTCGGTGATGGTGGTAATATTCTGGCTTCCAAGGTGGCCGAAGTATTACCACCAACACCGAAATCTGTGATCATCTTCCCCCTGTGGAGGCAACGACTTGTGTTGGTGTTAGTGCCCATTTCCAGGCCTCCAAAAGTGCCCCTGGCTCAAGGTACCCCCAGGATTCCCGGGGTGGCCCAGGCGGCCAACAGGGCACCCCTCACCAGGCCCAGAGGGCCCCAGGGGCTCCAAAATGGAGCGAAAAGCCGGGGGTACCTTGGGCCAGGGGCACTTCTAGCAACACCCGAAATGTAGGTTCGCGTCGTGTCGACTGGCGGCGACCCCGCCGCTGCTGAACGAGCTGACATTTCGGAGGCGGCCGATCGTTCAAGATTTAATGATCCCCGCGGTGTCAGGAACAATGCTGGGGTCGACACGACACGAACCAGCCTTAGTTCCACTCTCCTCGTGGGCGGGAGCTGTATCCATGTCCACGGCCTCGCAGTCATGGGCCATCAAGGGTTCTCTCGGGGACGAGCCCCCGCTGGATGCGGGGCGGCGTTCTCGCGCGGGTGCCCCCCCGCGCGTAGCGTGCCCATATGGGATCGCGCCTCGGTGTCCAGGCCGCGGGTGCACGAGTACGATGCAGTCAAGAAAAAGGGCTTCGTCTTCGAGGACCAAAGGAGCTGTCGTCACTTCCTCGGCGGAAGGCGGCGGAAGTAGAACGGGGGCGTCTCCGCTGGCTGACGCCGACGGAAGTAAAAATAGCGCGCAAAAAGAGACGGCCAGGTTTTGTGGGTCAGGGTTCCTGGAGTCCGCCAGATGTATACGGTCGGTTCGGGTCGTGTCGACGCGGCGGCGACCCCGGCGCGGGCGGTTCAGGTCGAACGCCGCCAGCCGCCCAGAAGCAGCCAGCACGGAACGATTTGGCGATCGAAAATCAGCCGACGGTTCACGGTTGAACGATCCGTGCAGTGTCAAGCATCAGCGCAGGGGCCGTTTCGACACGAACCAGTTGCACAGTCGACCCTCATAGTAGCGATGAGCGATTTCCCAAGGTTGCCCGTGCATCCTTCCCCTTCGGCCCATCCTGGGCCGCTTTCGCTGGCCGCGCCCTGCTCGCAGAGTGACGGCATGGCCGTCCAAGGCTCTTGCATCCTCACCGCGCGTCCTTACTACACGGGTTGACTGTGCTCTCCCTGTCCTCGCTGCTGGCACGCAAAGTTGATTCATCAGAGAGCTTACCACACGTGTAGGCTACCTCCAAGTCGGGTCCCGAGACCGACCTGCCTCACGCATCTTGCGCCCGCCTCGCACTGCACCCAAGTCTTACGTGTCGATCTAACCGTCAGGCAGGTTGTTCAACTTCAACTTGTCCTGTTTCCCGTGGCCGATCCTGCAAGGAATTTGGTCGAGGCTCGAGGCGTCGAGGTCTCTCCGCGCGGACCCGCATCCCTCCACCACCTGTGGCGTGAGGAGGGGGCTGGGGAGGAGTAGGCAAGTGGCGGCCGGGGCGGCGGCTCGGGAGGGGGAGCGTCGAGCAGCGCCCGGGCGTTGGACGGGCTGGCATCCCCCGGAATCCAAACTGGCGGGGGCGGCGGGGTGTGGCGGCGGGCGGACGGGCGGCACCGGACCTTCGCCACGCTGAGCGCGGGCACCAGGGGCGCGCGTGCGGAGGGAGGGCGGAGCGAGAAGTAAACAAAAAAGAACCTCTCCTCTCGTCTCTTGTCTACGTTTCTCCCTCTCCCTCTCCCCATCCATCTCCTTCCCTTCTTCCTCCTCCTCCCCATCGGCGGAGCACGGGTTCGCCCTGAGCCCTCGTTCGACGACGACCTCCCCTCCCCTCGGCGCAGCACGGCGCAGCACAGCACAGCCCTCGGCACGGTACATCAAGATCGATACACTCAGCATTGCATTTGCCCGTCGCCCAAGCAGGTGTCTTTGAAACGTTGCCATGCCTCTCATTTCTGTGTTCTTTTCCGGGGTCGTGGGTCGAGCATGTTTCCTCTCTCCTTCCTCCTCCTCCCCTTCCGCCTCCTCTTGCCTCAGGGATGGCCGTCCCAGGCTCCTCCGATCTGCCAGCTCCCCGAGCCTCGGGGACAGACCTCCCCCTCCTCCTCCCTCCCTGTGAGAGCGAGCGGCCGGCAGACCCTGGCCGTCACGGTGGCGTCCACGGAGGTCTGCACCGCCACCTTCTCCGCGGTCGTCGTGCTCGCGGCGTACCTGGCGATCAGGGAGCGGAATTCCAAGCAGAAGGAGCGGAGCGGGGCGGGTGGGCCGCCCGCGGCGCGGAGGAGCGGGTGCGTCACCACCGACGCGATCGGGGGCTCGTGCGGTGTGCTGTCAAGGCGCTGAGGTGGGGGACCGCCGTCGGCTCGGGAGGGGCTCCGGCTTCCGGGGGCCGTTCCCCCGGAGGTTTTTTGGTGGGGAGCCTCAGCGTGGCCGAGGCTCGCCGTGGCCTCGAGAGCCCCTTCGTGGCTCGCTCTGCGTTCCTGCTGGCCGCACGATAGCCTGTACGGGGGAGGCATTGGGCCCCTCGATCCATCTCTTCCCTCCCTCCTCCTGCTGGTCCGCCCTTCTCGTCTCCCACGCCCCTCATCCTCCTCCTGCGCCTCATCCTGTGCGTCTTGACTCGCTTCTGCAAATGGACTGTTATAAGTTATTGTGGCGTGCTCCGCCGAGGGGCTTGGAACCGTTGCCAACAATGTCAGTGCGACTGGATTTTCTATGGCGTCGGTTGCTCGTACGGCGACCCAGGATGATGGGCTGGTTTTCGCTACGGCGTCGACTGCCGAAAGGGCGACCCACAGAGATGGCAGGGGAATGACCTTATCTATGGCGTTGGCGACTCAGATGGTGACCTAGAGTGGTGGAATGGGGAACTCTGTGGAGTCTTCTCGCCCAGACGGCGTCCCAGAGAGGAGGTGGTGGAATGGGTGTCTCTATTGCGTCGGCTGCTCAGAGGGCGACCCAGAATGGTGAGGTGGTTGTCTCTACGGCGTCGGCGATGCAGACAGCGACCCAGAGGGATGGTGGTGGAATGTGGGTCCCTACGTCGTTGGCCCAGGGCTCTCTTTAGGATGGTGATCTCTCCCTGGTGCCAACTTCGAAGAGGGCTGGCGGATTCATGTGAGATAAATAACGAGGTCGAAGAGGGCCGACTGGTTCAAATTTGAGGATGGTACGAGCGAAACGCTCGTTTTGGAAATTCCGATGGATGAAACACAGGATAGAGTGAACATGTTCGGTTGTTCCGCATGTCTCGAGCGAAACGCTTGGTTGCAGAGTATGTCGAGGACGGGTCGAGCAAAACGATTGTTTTGTCTAATGGATTGCCCCTCTTCTGAGGCTCGAATCCTTCGCTTTTTACGCGTGTTCCTGTAGATTGCCCTGGCGAGCGCTTCAGAGCTGGACAAACGTGAAAATAAGCGGGTTCCTAACGCCCAAGAGCGGGACAAGCATGACGAAGCATCGGATCCTGACGCCCCAGAGCGGGACAAACGGGAAACAACATCGGATTTTGACGCCCCAGAGCGGGACAAGCGTGAAAGCACAGGATTCCTAACGCCCCAAAGCGGGATAAGCGTGAACACAGCTTCCTAACGCCGCAGAGCGGGACAAGCGTGGAACCATGTGGGTTCTTAACGTCCTTGTCATCTTCGATGTCGTCGTCGTCGTCGTCGACGCTTCTGTCGTCTCCGTCGGCGTCGTCGTCGTCGATGGCCTGGTCGTCGGCCTCGTCGTCATCGTCGCGTTCGCTGTTCTTGCCGCCTTCGTCGTCGTCGTCCTCGCCACCCCCATTGTCGCCTCCGGGGATGTCGTTTTGGGTGGATTGCGCACTACTTGAATGTCCAAAGTGTTCTCGTTCATATCGTAATGCTCAGTGGAGCTTTCTCAGCTCTTATGCTGAATGAGTGCATTGCGACACGCAGTTGGCGTGCCGTACCCTGCTCCGCCTCCTCGTTGTCTGCTGGCGATTGGCCTCGCGATGGAGGGCGTATCATAAGCGTCGCAGAACGATCCGCAGCATCTCTCTCTCTATCTCTTTCTGTCTCTCTTTGCATTTCGCATATGTTCGGTCTCAGTGGGCTGATGACATGTTGCGAGTACTGTGCCGCTGCCAGCTTATCCAGGAACCGTGGCCACAACAACAGGGCCTTGCCCAATAAGCCCGCCCAAGCCTGCCCTGACCAACCAGGCCTTCCGCAACACGCGCCTGCCGTGTCGTCCCGGGCTTTCTCGAATCAAACGGGCCTTCCGCAATATAGGGCCCCTGGGCATCCCCAATCCGACCCTGCCCTCCCGACCCAACCAGGCCGTCCGCAACTTGGAAGGCCCCTGGGCCTTCCACACGGACCGGGCTTTCCTAAGCAACAGGAGGCCCGGGCCTTCCCGAGCCGACTGGGCCCTCCAAACAAACCGGACCTGCCCCAACGTGCCTGGCCTTCCCAAAGTGACCGGGCCTTCGCAGTATGGTCCCCTGGGCCTTCCGCAACGAACGGGGCCTTCCCCAACGAACCTGGCCTTCCCAAAGTGACCGTGCCTTCGCAGTATAGTATGGTCCCCTGGGCCTTCCGCATTCCCAAATTAGCAAGGATTCCGCAGCATGAGGCCCTGGCCTTCCCAAACCGACTGGGTCTTCCCAAACAAGTCGGGCCTTCCGAGTCGCGGCGTTTCGCGAATGGTTTGTGAAGGCTCGCTTGGTTTGTGAAGGTGCCCTGCCCCCCCTCGCCAGGGGGCGCGAGGGGGCGGCCCTCAGGCTCGGATGTAGCCAGGACTCCGCGACGGGGCGCCGGTAAGTGTCAGGAGGGAAAAAAACACAGACACAATGAATCGTCGATTCCCCAGAAAATATGGTAAGTGGGGGGGAAGACAAAAACCCGGAAGATATGGGAAAAACTTGGGGATCTTGTTATTTGTATGTACTTATTTGTGTGTCCCAAGGCCCCTTCCTAGTGATTGGGCACCGAGGCCCCAAATGATGCCAGAATCACTGAGCTTCAAGAGCGAAAAGAGGACGTACACGTACATATTAATTTCGAAAATACACATTACACGAATATTCGTATCATACGGCCGGTCTCGCGGATCGAGGGGCCGTGTTCATGTACATGGTTGGGCGCGTGTGTCTTGTGTGGGTTCTCTAGAACTACCCATCGGTCGTTGAAAGTAGGTATTTTTGGAATCCCAGATTCCAATCTACTTTGAGCGCCTTCCTTGTCAATGATCGATTGGCCTCACCTTTTCCGTCCTCTTTAGGGGGCGGGCGGACACCCAATCTTCTTTCAACGCCGTCCTATTTCATGTTTCTACCTACTTCTTCCGACCGATGGGTAAGTCTGCCGTAGCTGGTGTTTCTTCGGATGACGGCCTGGGGGGATGTCCCCTGGTAGTGACAGACCACTAAACCAGGTCCCACTAAACCAAGTCCAGACAGCGCCCGAGACGAGGGCGGAGGGAAGAGGATGTTAGGGGCAACGTTGGAGGGATCGGCTTAGGGGCGAGTGTATTGACCCCCAGTCGCCCATTGAGACTGGATACCCCACCCCGCCCAGGAATTTGCGGATCCGCCATCGGGCGTTGAGCGCCGATCTATTGGCGATGTATCCAGCTCGACGTTTTCCCCCCTGAGCCGGTCCCCCCGTAACGTTAACTCTCAAAAAGGAGGTTTTGGGAGGAGGAGTAGGAGGGCGAGGCAAGGGATGCATGTGTCGGCGGGTCTTCATTCGCCCTCAGCATCCGAAGGAGCTGATGCGGCTCATGGGGCTGGGCGACGGCTCGCTGGCGCTTTCTTGGCTGCTGCTGTACGCCTTCCAGAACGCCCTCGTCTCGCTGGGGTGTTCGCTGCTGGTTCAGTCTGCCCTCGCCAGCCCCTCAGACTCTTGAAGGGGGAGGGCAAGATTGGGGGGGGACTTTGTTTGGACTCGGCCCTGCGTTATAGCATGTGCGTGCCCTCGTTTCGCTTCAGGCAGCGTGAATGGGCGCCACGCATCTCTGGCAACTGGGACAAGGCTGCACGTGTTCTTCTTCGCTTGCGGAGGCCAACGTGAAATTGTCTCTGGCAAGCGGTGGTTGCCGTTGGAAGGGAAGTGGGGGAAGATGGTAAAGCTGAGATGGGGGGGAGCTCATGGCGATATCAGGACAAGCACCAAAAAGCCAGGGGCGGCAGCTTGCGCCGAGCCGTGCACGCGCCTGCCTTCCGAGGCCACAGTGGGGTTCTCCTCTGACGAAATGTGGATCACTGGTGTGGTCCAGGGCTTGACCTGAACGGCGTTTCTGGTGATTTCGTGGGCCGTTTTCGTTTCGACTTCGTTTTGCGGTAAAGGCGGATTCGAGACAAAAGCGAGGGACAACGAAAACAAGACGAACATGAACATCCCGTTTAGGTTCAGCCTTGGTGTGGTCAAGCTTCTGCACGTCAGGTAGCGAGGGTGCGTCAAGAGGTGACCGGGGCAGGCAGCAGAAAAAAAGGGGCCCTGTGGCCCTCGTGGGTCGAAGAAGGGGAAGGCATAGAGAGTGTAACATTAAGTCGGGCCTGTCCCTCTACAGGGGGAACGTTCAAGAATAGTTAAAGGATAGTCTGGAGACTATCTATTTGTTGGTTATTTTTCATCATTTTGGAGTCTCGTTTGACCATGTGTTATTTGTTTCTCCTAACTCCCCCTGTAGGGGGACAGGCCCGACTTAAGTGTAGCATCAGCAAGAGGAGGAGGCATCCGTGGATGGGGGCACAGGGAAGGCCCGCGACCGGAGGGAGGGCGAGAGGTGGAGAGATCGGAGGCTGGCAGACCTCCTGCCCTGACACGTCGATCAAGGACTTGGCCGTGTTCGGTTCGCGATGGGGCGTCGCGGCCGTCGTTTTTGCGGATCCAGGTCCGTCGGTTTCGGTCTTGGGCCGTTTTCACTAAAGGGAGGTTTACGGTTTACTAAAAGGAGGTCTGTCCACCGCCGACGAGAGGGGAGACGGGGAGGAGGATGGAGGGGGGAGGGAGAAGGAGGGCTGGAGAGGGAGGCAGGCGGAAGCAACGCGGTTGAGGGAGGAGGTGGAGCGAGGAGGAGGAAGGGGGGCAGAGGTGGGGTGGACGAGGGACGAGGGGGGTTCGAGGAGGGACGGGGAGGGAGCGAGGGATGGATGGAGGGGAGGCTCGGAGGGCAGAGGGAGTGGACGTGGACGGCGGGAGGGACTAGGAGAGAGTCGAAAGGGGGAACCATCAAATGCTAGGGCGTGGCATAGATATGCTCTCAGCGTTGATGGAGCGACAGCGATTCCAACCCTGGCTTCTCCCCACTCCTCACTCCATCCTCCCCTCCTCCCTCGTGTCCTCCAGTGCTCTCTTCTCCTCCCTCTTCTCCTCGCTCCCCCTGGCTTCCTGGGCGCGCCGAGGGGGGAGGTGAGAGCGGGCAGGCCTTCGCAGCAGGCTTAGAAAGCTTCTCGGAAGGCCCGAGGCTCTCTGAGCCTTCTGCGGAGGCCCGCCTCGACAGCCCCATGGGCGTGCCGCCGATCCTCTCCCTTCTCCTCGCTACCCCTGGCCCCATCCCCCTCCTCCCCGCCTCCCTGCCTCCTCCCATGATCTTCCCTCCCCCCCCCTCCCTCTGCATCCCTGCCTCCTCCCTCCCTCCCAGCCTTGGCATCGCTCGGACGTGTGCATTTTTTCTCGGCGAGAACCATCGAGGACCATCCTGGACCATCGAGCAACCAAAAAAACGCACGAAACCGGAAAATGCACGGGAAATGGACGACCGAGCGAGGGCAAGTCCTCCCCCCCTCCCTCTGCATCCCTGCCTCCTCCCTCCCTCCCAGCTGCCCCCCCCCGCCAGCCATGGGAGCCCCGCCCTTCCGGCCGAGGTCAATAGCTCGGAATTCGTCATCTTGTTCCTCATCTTCTTCCTGACCGCAATGGCCAGCACCCTGGTTGGCCTCACCGTATCTGCCCTCATATCCACCGAGCGGCCGTCGAATAAGAAAGAACGACACCTTCGCAGATGTTCGGAGGTCCGCGCAGATGTTTTGGATGGGCGTTGGAGCCCCCCTCCTTGGCGCGCGGGGCGGCGCTGCAGGCGCCGCAGGGGGGGACAGCGCCGATCCAAGAAATCTGCGTGGATTGGGGAAAGTGTAATTCTGTCGACGCAGTTTTGAGTCCACTAGGCTGGGGGCACTGGTGGCATTCGGAGCGTACCAGTGCATGGGCCTGATGTGCCACGGGCTCGTCAAGGACATCAGGCAGACGTCCATGAGCTCCGACGGTAGCCCGCAGGCGGGTGCAGATGCCACCTCGGCCGCGTCAGCGCACCTCCTCATCGCGAGCTTCCTTCCCAACGTGGCATTCGTGCTCGTCCTCAAGGCCTTCTTCGCGCTGGAGACGAACTTCCAGGGCTGCACCTGGCAGAGCGTGCACCGCCGCGTCCACAACTACACCGTGGCCAGCGGGCTCACGATGCTCTTCGTGGACGTGGTCGTCTGGGGCCTCGCGTACGCCTACCTCGACCAGGTGATCTCCCACGACGTGGGCGCGACGCGCCCGTACAACTTCCCCTTCACCAGGTCCTTCTGGCGCGAGGTGTTCGGCCTGGACGACTGCGGCGGCGCCCCTCCCCAGCGGGGCGACGACGCGGCGGACGCGGAGCTGGGGCAGGCGCCGCACCACCCGGACGCGGACCCCGAGCTCTTCGAGGAGGAGGGCAGCGCCAGGCTCCAGGAGCTCCGCGGCCGAGGCCCCCCTCCTCCCCCTCCTCCTCCCCCTCCTCCTCCCCCTCCTCCTCCTCCCCCTCCTCCTCCTCCGCTTCCTCCTCCTCCTCCTCCTCCTCCTCCTCATCCTCCTCCTCGGAGCTCCGCGGCCGAGGCCACGTGGTCAGCGTCCGCGGCCTGCAGAAGGTGTTCGTCGACGCAGCGGGCCGCACCGTCCGCGCCGTCGACGACCTGAGCCTGACCATGTACAGGGGTGCGTCGGCGAAGCAACGCTGCGCGACACAAACTGTCGGAGGTCCGCGCGGAGTTCTCGGATAGGCACTGCGACGAAACATGACTGGATTCACGTGCGGACGGCCAGCGTTCCATGTGTATGATGGCTCTGCCACACCAGCCTGTCAGGTCGTTGATCATCAAGACGATGTCTTGCTTCGACGACACACGCAAAACATGCAATGGGGCCTCCTGGCGGCGCCTCAGGAGCTGCACTTGGCGCGCCCCGCGCGCCAGATAGGGGGGCCCAGCGCCGATCCGAGAAATGAGCGCGGACCTTCGACACGTGATGCTCGTGCATCTGATTCTTCCTCCAGGCGAGTGCTTCTGCCTGCTCGGCCACAATGGCGCGGGCAAGACTACCACCATGGCGTGCCTGACCGGCATGCTGCAGCCGACGGCCGGGGACGTGCGGGTGCTCGGCAGGCGCATGCCGGCCGAGCTGCAGGCGATCCGGCAGGACATGAGCTTCTGCATGCAGCAGAACGTGCTCTGGGACAGCCTGACGGTGGAGGAGCACACGCAGCTGTTCGGGGCCCTCATGGGCCTCTCGCAGAGGCTCATACGCGCGGCCAGCGGCCGCGCCCTGGCGCAGGTGGAGCTCCTGCACAAGAGGCACGCCCAGGCCTGCCAGCTGTCCGGCGGCATGAAGCGGAAGCTGAGCGTCGCCCTCGCGCTGCTGGGCGATTCGAAGGTCGTGGTGCTCGACGAGCCGACCGCCGGCATGGACCCGCACACGCGGCGGCAGCTGTGGGCGGTGCTGAAGCAGAGCCGGACGGAGCTCACCGGGCGCGTTCCACCATTCGCAAAGTGCCTACTCGCAAGCGCCCGAAAAACACATGCCTGCTTCGATGCAATTGATTGTAGATCCCCCGCGGCGGATCCAGGCGATTTGCGAGTAGCTACTTTGCGAGTAGTGGAACGCGCTCGTCTAGGAGCGGATCCTGTGCTTGACGACGCACCACATGGACGAGGCGGACGAGATCGGGGACCGCGTCTGCATCATGGTGCAGGGCCGCGCCGCGTGCAGCGGCACTAACGCCTTCCTCAAGCAGCGGCTGGGCTGCGGGTACCTGCTCACCTTCGTGAAGGCGGGCGAGGCCAGACGGGGCCAGGACGAGGATAAATCCGTTCCGGAGCGTTTCAGAACGCTCTGAGAAGGCCGCAGCGCCCGATGCATCCTCTGGAGCCGCCGGATCTCAGAGATTCTCGATGTATCCTCCCCCGATTTTGATCCTCGTCCTGGCTTCGTCGTGCGAGGCCGTGCCGGACCGCCCCATCGTGTCGCTGGTGGCCGCCCACTGCGGGGAGGGCGTCCAGACCGCCGCCTCCGCCGGGCGAGAGCTGCGCGTGCAGGTGCCCTTCGCCGGCGCCTCCGCGTTCCCGGCGCTGATGCGGGAGCTGGACAGGCGGCTCCAGGAGCTGGGCGCGGAGTCCTACGGCGTCGGGGTCTCGGACCTGGAGGACGTCTTTCTGAAGGTTCGTCGGGAAACGGAACGCCTACACTACCAGTGGCGGGCTGTTTTTCTCGGGGGTGGACAGACCTTCTACCCTGACACGTCGATTAGTGAATTGGCCGTTTTCGGTTCGCGAGAGGGCGTCGCGGCCGTCATTTTTGCGGGTCCTGGTCCGTCGGTTTCTGTCCCAGGCCGTTTTCACTAAGGGGAGGTTTACTAAAGGGAGGTTTGTTACCGCCGATTTTAATCCCAGGACTTTTTGAGGGTCGGTGGGACGACGTCGGGGCGGTGTGGTGGGGGAAACGAAACATGTATACACCAGGGTCGCGTATACACCAGGATCCGCCATTCCCTGTGCAAATTTCAGTACAGGGCTGGAACAAAAAGCGTCGTTGTATAGAGTTCGGTTCCCTAGTTCAAGCAGTGGTGGAGCGCCCTGACCCGGGACACGAAACCACGTTCTGAAAACATTCGGTGGTTCGCACGAACTGCTCTTGAACATCTCTGGCCGAGGCATTCTTGGTTCCCATCCATCGTGCTCGTGCTCTAACAAGACCCTCCTTTTGGCCAGAAGCGCACTCTTTTGTTCCACGGACATTTCGGTGGAGGAGGAGGAAGATAAGGTGTGATCCGGTTTTTCGTAGTTACCTAACAGCGAAGACTGATAGGTTTCTAGTGGTGTCAAAAGAGAGCATCATGACTCCTCAGGGGGGTCGGGGCGGGACCCGGGGCGGCTGCCGCCGAAGCCCAAATCGCCTGGGACATCCTCGCAAAATCGCTCTTGGCGCTGCTAGAACTACATTCCCGGCGTACATGTTGGATGCCCGGAGCCAACTGTAGGCCACTTCGTGGTCTTCGAGTTCCCAGAACTCCATTCCCGGCGTACATTTTGGATGCCCGGAGCCAACTGTAGGTCACTTCGTGCTCTTCGAGTTCCCAGAACTCCATTCCCGGGCCACATTTTGAATGCCCGGAGCCAACTGTAGGCCACTTCGTGGTCTTCGAGCTCCCAGAACTCCATTCCCGGGCATGATTTTGAATGCCCAGAGCCAATTGTAGGCCACTTCGTGTTCTTCGAGTTCCCAGAATGCTCCAGGCTCAGGCTGGGCAGGCTGACAGCTTGAGGCTGAGGCTGAATCAGCTGAGGCTGAGGCTGAGGCAGGCTGAGGCTGAGGCTGAGGCAGGCTGATGCTGAGGCAGGCTGAGGCTGAGGCTGAGGCTGATGCAGGCTGAGGCTGAGGCACGCTGAGGATGAGGCCGAGGCTGAAGGCAGACTGAGGCTGAGGCTGAAGCAGGCTGAGGCTGAGGCTGAGGCTGAGGCTGAGGCAGGCTGAGGCTGAGGCTGAGGCAGGCTGATGCTGAGGCAGGCTGAGGCTGAGGCTGAGGCTGATGCAGGCTGAGGCTGAGGCAGGCTGAGGCTGAGGCCGAGGCTGAAGGCAGACTGAGGCTGAGGCTGAAGCAGGCTGAGGCTGAGGCTGAGGCAGGCTGAGGCTGAGGCTGAGGCAGGCTGATGCTGAGGCAGGCTGAGGCTGAGGCTGAGGCTGATGCAGGCTGAGGCTGAGGCAGGCTGAGGCTGAGGCCGAGGCTGAAGGCAGACTGAGGCTGAGGCTGAAGCAGGCTGAGGCTGAGGCTGAGGCAGGCTGAGGCTGAGGCTGAGGCAGGCTGGCTGAGGCAGGCTGAGGCTGAGGCTGAGGCTGCAGGCTGAGGCTGAGGCAGGCTGAGGCTGAGGCCGAGGCTGAAGGCAGGCTGAGGCTGAGGCTGAGGCTGAGGCTGCAGGCTGAGGCTGAGGCAGGCTGAGGCTGAGGCGCAGGCTGAGGCTGAGGCCGAGGCTGAAGGCAGACTGAGGCTGAGGCTGAAGCAGGCTGAGGCTGAGGCTGAGGCAGGCTGAGGCTGAGGCTGAGGCAGGCTGATGCTGAGGCAGGCTGAGGCTGAGGCTGAGGCTGATGCAGGCTGAGGCTGAGGCAGGCTGAGGCTGAGGCCGAGGCTGAAGGCAGACTGAGGCTGAGGCTGAAGCAGGCTGAGGCTGAGGCTGAGGCAGGCTGAGGCTGAGGCTGAGGCAGGCTGAGGCTGAGGAGGCTGAGGCTGAGGCTGAGGCTGAGGCTGAGGCTGAGGCAGGCTGAGGCTGAGGCCGAGGCTGCAGGCAGAGGCTGAGGCTGAGGCTGAGGCTGAAGGCAGGCTGAGGCTGAGGCTAGGCTGAGGCTGAGGCTGAGGCTGAGGAGGCTGGCTGAGGCTGAGGCTGAGGCTGAGGCTGAGGCTGAGGCAGGCTGATGCTGAGGCAGGCTGAGGCTGAGGCTGAGGCTGATGCAGGGCTGAGGCTGAGGCAGGCTGAGGCTGAGGCCGAGGCTGAAGGCAGACTGATGCTGAGGCTGAAGCAGGCTGAGGCTGAGGCTGAGGCAGGCTGAGGCTGAGGCAGGCTGAGGCTGAGGCTGAGGCAGGCTGAGGCTGAGGCTGTGACTGCGACTGCCGTTGTCACTGCGACTGCCATCGCGAATGCGACTTCGACTGCGAGAACAGCAGAATTCTACAACAGGATTCTCATCTGAATCTTAAGGGGAATGCTTCCAAATATGCTCCTACACATCGCTGTTAGGTTGCTTTGCCGGGATAATTTTCGGTCTCCAAGGGCCACCCTGAGCAGTTCTTCACACTTGAACCCGTCCGCGGCCCCTCCCGGGCCGTATCCTGGCAAGTTTGTCATATTTGGTAGATTGTGCCATCTTTGGCCTCCAGGGGCCATCCTGGCAAGTCTTTTGGTAGGCCTGTATAGGAATGCCGGGACGGCCGGCCCCCGCTCCAAAGGTGGCCAACGGCGAGGCCGCGCGCCCCGGGGCGCGGGCCGTGCCAGCGGCGCTGCCGGCCGCGCCCGCGGCGCCGAGCGCCTCCCACAAGGCGGGGGCGGGGGCGGGGGCGGGGCTCTGCCACGCGCAGGCGGGAGGGAGAGGGCGCAGAGGGGGGGGAAGGTCCAGCGATCGCAGACATGGATCAAGGGGGCGTGGATTAGCGACGAGTCCCGTTTACACGGGAAATCGCGGATTCCCGCCGCCGAACGAGGCAGCACCGGCCGCATTTGGGGAAGGGCACCTCCCCCGATCCATGGATTTGGCGACCGCGCGCCAAATCAATGGATCGTCAGTCCATGTTTAGAACCACCCGCCCTTCTCGGAAGGCGCGGGCGCCCCTTCAAAGAAGCAGGTGGCTGCTGCTCAGAAGGGCGGCCTGGGCCTTCCAAGAGGCAGCCTCCTTCTAAGAAGCCTTCACCCCTCCCTCTACCCCATTGCGCGTGCCGCCACTGGGCAGCGCCCAGATCGGGGAATCGTAAGACTCGAGTACGCCCGAACTTGGGGTGAACCGACGCTTTTTGACAAGCGCGTCCCGGATTTTGACGGTCCAGTTCTAATGGTATATTGGCGGCGGGAGCTCGCGTCAAATTTCATCTTGGGTCTCGTCATTTTCACGATCGCCCCGTCAGGCCAACCCGAGTCCCCCGAACCCGGGTCTTGCTGACATGCTGTGATCTTGCAGTCTACGCTCCGTGGAGGGCGTTTTCTCGCCATGCCGCCTGGGTAACGATATACGACGAGATGTTTGTGCTTGACGGTCGGGTCGGACGAGCGCCTCCGAGGAGGGCGCGCAGTACTGATCAGAGCGAGGGAGCCAAACGGTCTTACACCATCCCTGGGCGCGTGACTGTGGGGTTCAGCGGTGCTGATTCTGCGTGTTGCCGTTGCGTCGAATTTTCACTTCTAGAGAATCTGATTTGTTTATCCCCCCTGTCTGGTGCCCATTTGTTTTTCAATTGAAGTGCTCCTCCAGGGTCTCACACCCTGGTTTTTTACAAGGGAAAGTCCTCGCGCCTCAGATTGTGTCCTTGGCTCCAGGTTTACCACAACAACGGTTCCCGCCTGACACTATCCCACAATTTCTTCCACATCGCGCTCTGGAGCGGGAAGTCTCTACAATTTACCAGGGTATCGCGCTTTCGCATGGGACCTCCCCGCAATCTATTGGAACGCCGCTCCTTCGACACTCAGAAATCATGCTCTCGCTTCAGGCTCCCTCACGGTTCTACAGGCTGGCACCACATCCACCGACCCCTATATAACCGATTGCGCCTGCAGGACTGCATTTCACGAGGCTTGTCCGAATCATGACACGGCGCTCGACATCGTTCCTGTTGTTTCGTTGTTGTTATCGTACCTCTTGATGCTCTTCTGTGGCCTTCTAGTTGCATCTTGGCTTGTCTGCAGGCAATATCCGGCCGCCTCGAGGCATCTTGGGCCAAGTTTTGGGACCTCTTGGGGGCTTCCTGTGGCTTCCTGGAGGCCTCTTGAGGAGGAGGAGGAGGAGGAGGAGGAGAAGGAGGAGGAGGAGGTGGAGGAGGAGGAGGGGGCGGGGGATGCGGAGGAGGGAGGTTGCGGAGGAGGGAGGTTGCGGAGGAGGAGGAGGCGGAGGAGGAGGATGAGGTGGAGGAGCAGGAGGAGGAGGAGGAGGAGGAGGAGGAAGAGGCAGCAGATCCCGCGTTGGAGTGGCTTCGAGCTCCTTCCTGTGAGACCCCACCCCCCACCCCCCACCCCCCACAGGGGGGCGTGCCCCAGCAGGTCCGCGGCGCCCCTGTTCTCTCGGTCGAAGCAGGAAGCGGCCTGGACAGTGCCCTTGCAACGAAGCCCAAGAGTGCACACCACCGCCTCCATCACCCCGCCCCTCTCCGGGGAGATGGGGTGATCATCGAGATTAAACAACCTAACCCGAATAACGCAGTGAAGACGTGGCCTCACTTAAGTTCCCGTCTCTGCACTAGGGAGTTGATCAGTCTGGGCGGCCTGGTCTGACACATCGATGCTGCTGATGACAAGGACGATGATGCTGGGTTATGGTGATGGTGACGATGATGTTGATGATGATAGTGCTGGTGCTGATGCTGATGATGCTGATGCTGATGCTGCTGATGCTGCTGCCCATGGCAATTGTGATGATGGTGATGGCGGCGGTGTCGGTGACGGTGATGGTGCTGGTGACAACGATGGTGATGGTGATGATGATGGTGACGAGCAGGGTGATGGTGGTAGCGGTGATGGTGATGGCGGTGATGGTAATGTTGATGGCGACGGTGATAATGCTCCCGCTGTTGATGATGCTGCTCATGATGGTGCTGATGATGATACAGATGTTGAAGCCGATGTTGCTGATGGTGATGATTGAGATGCTGATATCGATGATGATACTTACGTGGATGATGGTGAAGGTGATGGTGATGGTGATGATGATGGCCTTGACCATGACCATGACCATGGTCATGACCATGACGATCTCGCCGACCATCACGATGGCGATGCTGATGATGCTGATGACTATGATGATGTTGTTGATTGTAATGAGGGTTGTGATTGTGATGTTGGTGGTGATGATGATAATGTCGATGATGATGATGACAACCATGATGCTGTTGATGCTGATGATGATGCTGGTGATGACGATGCTGACGATGCTGGCACCGAAGCTGATGCTGATATTGCTGATGATGATGCTGGTGCTGATGATGCTGCTGATGATGACGATGTGATGGTGATGACGAGGGTGCCGATGATGGTGCTGCTTACGGTGACGTTGCGAAGCTGATGATCTTGAATATTTGGATGTGATGCTGATTGCGATGATGGTGGTGGTTGTGATGGTGATGGCGATGGTGTTGGTGATGGTGATGGCAATGTTTATGATGATCATGATGATAATGACGATGATGACGACCCTGACCATGACCATGACCATGACCATCACGATATCGATGACGATGCCGCTGACGATGCCGAGTACGATGATCGTGGTGATGATGACGGTGATGATGATGTTGATGATGATGGTGATACTATTGGTGATGATGGTGATGGAAATGCTGATGGTAATGATGGTGATGCTGACGCGGATCACGGTGATGGCGATGGTGATGGTGATTGTAATGGTGATGGTGATTGTGATGATGTCGTTGCTGTTGATGATGCCGCTGGTGATGATGATTCTGATGATGATACTGATGGTGATGATGATGCTGACGATGATGATTATGATGATGGTGGTGATGATAAATACGATGCTCATGATGATGATGATGATGATGACGCTGATGCTGCTCATGATGATGCAGATGGTGATGATTATGATGGTGACGTAGATGAAGATGATGATGCTGATGATGATGGCGATTATGATGATGTTGACGCTGATCATGATCATGAATATGATCATCATGATAATGAGGATTATGATGCTGCTGCTGCTGCTGCTGCTGCTGATGATGATGATGATGATGATGATGATGATGATGGTGATGCTGATGCTGATGCTGATGCTGATGATCATGGGGAGGAGGAGGAGGAGGAGGAGGAGCAGGAGGAGGCAGGCGACAGCCGGCATTGAGGGAAGACCCATCTGTCGGCTGCCTGGGGCGGATGGGCTAAGACCAGGCATGGCGAGAGGCGCAGGTTGTAGGCGAGTTCTATATATATATATATATATATATGTATATTCATCTGCCACTCTATCCAGGTCGTCAGGCAGAGAAGGTACAAGGCGATTGAGGAGGAGACTAGGGGTGATCGAACGCTTGCACCCCTGTGAGGTTGAGACGGGCCACGCTGGTCACGACGTGCCCTTCAAGCGGCAGTTCATCGGCCTCTTCCAGCGTCGAGTGCGATATGGCCGCCGCGATTCCCGGACGTTCTGTTGCCAGCTCGTCATGCCGATTGTCATCATGGTGGTCTTCCTCACGATCTCGAAGGTCCAGGGCGGGCAGCAGACCGCCACGATTGCCGCCTTGCCGCCACCACCGCCACTGCTGCGTCTGCAGCTCCCATCCCCTCGGCCCCTCTTCTCCTGCTGATATTGTGGCAGTTGGCCGTCACGATAGCGAGATGGTCTGTCACGAAAGCGCGCCACATGCATGTGCGTGTGTGCGAATGTGTGACACTGTCTCTGCACGTTTGGAACCTGGACTGGCTGGTCACGCCGTCTCAGCTGACAGCTCAGATCGTTTAGGCGAAGGCTGCAGTCCTTGCTTCGGGGAGAGTTTTGAAACAATGAGTGAACACCGTGGAACCAGCCTCGTGGTCTTGCGCATATCTTGAGACACCACCAAAAGAAGATCTGGATCGTTCGGCACATGGCTAACCATGCAGTTTCGTCTTTTAGCCTCCCTCTCCCGTCGATTCCCCGGCCGTCCGTCTTCGCAGCACAGGCTCGCTCCGATTTCCTTCGCCCGAGTCTCGCGTCGTTGGGGTTTCTTTTCGCCGGCGTCTCGCTTCGCCCGAGTCTTGCTTCGCCCGAGTTCGGCGGGCTGGACCCAATCAGGCGTGTCGTCCAGCGGTACCCTCACGGGCGGGCGATGCGAGCGGCTCTTTCGCGGGCGGGTCGGGTGGACCTTCTCGGACGGGCCGGGGTGGGCAGGACATCCATTGAAGTTGGCGGGCGAAGCGAGGCTCCGGCGAAGCTAGATTTGCGAAGCGAGACTGCTCCCGCTGACCCCCCCGTCGTCGTGGTCCTCCTCCTCCTCGTTTCCTCCTCCTCCTCCTCCTCTACTCCTTCCTCTTCCTCCTTTCCCTGGCCCCTCCCCTGGCCCCTCCCCGTCCCTGCTCCGCCCAATTCCCCCTCGCCCCTCCCCTGCCTCCCACGGCTGGGGGGAAGACACCAGACATCCGACGTCATGATTGCTGTTGTCGCAGCGTGGCTCCCCAGAGGTCTGGACTCCTACCCCAGTGCCCCTGGCATCGCCCAGACGTGTGCATTTTTTTGGAGGCGAGGACCGCTATGCCTCCTAGATAGATTCCGAGTAGACGGGGTCGGAGGATCGCGTCGCATCGCGGATGCATCGGCGATGCGGCTCGATGAGCAAGCACGTGTTTCCCAACGTCGACGTCGCCGATGTCGCCGATGCATGGCCGATACATCGCCGATAAATCGGCGATGCATTGGCGATGCGGCGCGATCCCTTGACCCCATCCACTCGGACCCCATCTGAGAGGCCACTAGGACCATCGACGAACGTCCTGGTTTGCCATCTGAAAATTCACGCATGACGTCGAAACATGCACGGACTGGACGTCCGAGCGATGGCGAGGGGCCCGGCATCTCCGCCCCGAGAGTGTTTTGCTCGCCAGCCCCAGGGCCCAGGGCCCCTTAGAAGCCATATTCTCGGCGAGCAAAAAAATGCTCACGGCGCGAGGAGGCCAAGGACAAGACGGGGGGGGTCCGTGACAGCGTCAGGTGGGAATATCGACGGCGAGCGAGGGGTGGTAGTGAGAAGGAGAAGGCCTTCTCAGAAGGCGGCGGGACTTCTCAGGAGGCCTCCGCCCTTCTGACAAGTTCTTTGTGTCTTTGGGGACAGCCCAGACAATTTCTCAGAAGGCCGGGGGACTTCCGAGCCTTCCGAGAAGGCCCGCCCCTTCTCACTTCCCCCCTCGCTCGCCGCCGACTTAGGGGGGAATAGGCTCAGGGAAAAAGTGGTTCTCCGGAAGAAGAGTTGGTTCGCTGGCGAAAGGATTAGTTCTCCGAGTGGAAGTAGCAAGATGCCGAGTCGACTGGTTCTCCAGTTGAGCCCCTACAGGTTTACCCCCCCCAAAAAAAAGGAAAACACACCCCAAACAACAAACCCGAAGCACCCCCAAACACCAAACCCCAAACCCCAAATACCAAACACCAAACACCAAACACCAAGTCCAAAACACCAAACCCCAAACACCAAACCCCAAACACCAAGCCCCAAACATCAACTTCCAAACATCAAACCCCTAAACACAAAACACCAAACGCCAAACACCAAACACCAAACACCAAGCCCCAAACAGCAAGAATTTTTGGGTGGGCCGTTCGTGGGCCATCTTGGGGGCCTCTCGCCCCGTCTAGGGGCGATCTGTTTGGCCTCTTGGGCACTGTTAGGGCCGATAAGGCGAACGTGCTAAACATCTGCTCTTACCCAAGGAACTGGGACGATCTTTGCCTCTTGAGGCCCGCTTGGAGCCCTACGACTACTACGGCTACTACTACTAGTTCTACTAATACTACGACGACGACGACGACGACGACGACGACGACGACGACTACTACTACTACTACTACTAGTACTCGTTCTCGTATTCGTACCCGTACAGTTTTATTGCTACTACTACTACTACTACTACTACTACTACTACTACTACTACGACTACGACTACGACTACGACTACGACGACTACGACTACGACTACGACTACTACTGCTACTACTCCTACTACGACTACGCCGACGACTACAGAAACAACTGCCACTACTACTACGACTACTACGGCTACTACTACTACTACTACGACGACTACTACTACTACTACTACTACTACTACTACTACTACTAGTACTACTGCTACTACTACTACAACTACAACTACTACTACTACTACTACTACTACTACTACTACTACTACTACTACTACTACTACTGTTCATACACATACTGTTGCTGTTGCTGCCGCTATTCTTACTTCTACGACCACTATTATTACTACTACTACTACCCCTACCACCACTACTGCTGCTACTTCTATTACGACGACGACTACTACCACTACTACGGCGAGGGCGACGACTACTACTTCTTAAAAAGTACTACTCCTACTTCGACGACTACTGCCACTGGGCATCATACTACCACTTCTACTACAGCTGCTATTACTATTACTACCACTACGACCGTCACTACGAGTACCACTACTACCACTACTACTACGATACTACTACTACTACTGCTGCTACTACTACTACTACTACTACTACTACTACTACTACTACTACTACTACTACTAATACTACTACTACTACTACTACTACGTACTACTACTACTACTACTACTACTACACTACTACTACTACTACTACTACTACTACTACTACTACTACTACTACTACTACTACTACTACTACTAGTACTAGTACTAGTACTACTACTACTACTACTACTACTACTACTCCTACCACTACTGCTACTACCCTTACTACTACTACTACTTCTACTACTACTGCGACTACTGTTTATATTTGTATTACTACTACAACTGCAACCGCTACGACTACGGCTACTCCTACTGCTAATGTGAAGAATACTGATTCTTCGACGAGTTGTACAACTACTACCCCTACTACGACTACTACCTCTACTGTTGCCGCTGGTGCTGATACTACTACTCCGGCTGCTGCTGCTAGTAGAGCTTCTGCTGATTAGCATGGCTATTGTTACTACTACTACTACTACTACTACCACTACCACTACCACTACCACTACCACTACCACTACCACTACCACTACCACTACCACTACCACTACTACTGCTAGCCTGCGACCAAATCCACCATTACATCTACTTCAACTACTACTCGTGCTGCTACTATTACGACTGCTACTACTTCTACTACCGCTACTTCTACTATTATTATTACTCTTACTGCGACTACGGCCACTACTAGTTGTGCCACTAGGAATATTACCGCCACCGCTGCCAAGTCATTGCTATGACGACTACTGGCACTATTCATTGCACTACTGTTTTTCTGCTACTTACTGTGAAAACCCTACTACTGCTACTACTACTGCTGCTACAACCAATCGCACTGCTACTGCTACGATTGCTACGCCTTGGTTTTTCATGGTTCCCTCTACCATTCTTAGCGCAACGGCTACCACGACGACGACGAGTACGATTACTATGTGTATACGTTCCGTATACGCCCGCGCATACGTTTCGCGTGCGTCTCGTTCTTCTTCTGTGTGTTGGGCATACCTGTGTCGTATACGTTTCGGATGCGTGCTATGGACGTTTTGATCACACGTTTTGTATACGTGTCGCTTGCCTTCTGTATACGCTACGTATACGTGTCGTATGTGTGCGGGTACGCTTTGTATGAATGCGTGATGTTTCGGTCGTATCTTCTTCGTGGGTGTTGCGCACGTTTTACGTGTAGGTTTTGTATGCGTGTTGTAAATCGTTCGTGTCTGTTCCACATACGTGTCATGGGC